CACTCGCCTCGCAGCCACGCCACCGTCGAGCACGAGCTGCGGCGCCTGCACGAGCTGGAGGCGCTCGTGTTCAAGGACTTCCGCCGATGAGTGCTCGCACTCGCACTCGCCTCGCAGCCACGCCACCGTCGAGCACGAGCTGCGGCGCCTGCACGAGCTGGAGGCGCTCGTGTTCAAGGACTTCCGCCGGTGAGTGCTCGCACTCGCACTCGCCTCGCAGCCACGCCACCGTCGAGCACGAGCTGCGGCGCCTGCACGAGCTGGAGGCGCTCGTGTTCAAGTACTTCCGCCTGTGAGTGCTCGCACTCGCACTCGCCTCGCAGCCACGCCACCGTCGAGCACGAGCTGCGGCGCCTGCACGAGCTGGAGGCGCTCGTGTTCAAGTACTTCCGCCGGTGAGTGCTCGCACTCGCACTCGCCTCGCAGCCACGCCACCGTCGAGCACGAGCTGCGGCGCCTGCACGAGCTGGAGGCGCTCGTGTTCAAGGACTTCCGCCGGTGAGTGCTCGCACTCGCACTCGCCTCGCAGCCACGCCACCGTCGAGCACGAGCTGCGGCGCCTGCACGAGCTGGAGGCGCTCGTGTTCAAGGACTTCCGCCGGTGAGTGCTCGCACTCGCACTCGCCTCGCAGCCACGCCACCGTCGAGCACGAGCTGCGGCGCCTGCACGAGCTGGAGGCGCTCGTGTTCAAGGACTTCCGCCGGTGAGTGCTCGCACTCGCACTCGCCTCGCAGCCACGCCACCGTCGAGCACGAGCTGCGGCGCCTGCACGAGCTGGAGGCGCTCGTGTTCAAGGACTTCCGCCGGTGAGTGCTCGCACTCGCACTCGCCTCGCAGCCACGCCACCGTCGAGCACGAGCTGCGGCGCCTGCACGAGCTGGAGGCGCTCGTGTTCAAGGACTTCCGCCGGTGAGTGCTCGCACTCGCACTCGCCTCGCAGCCACGCCACCGTCGAGCACGAGCTGCGGCGCCTGCACGAGCTGGAGGCGCTCGTGTTCAAGGACTTCCGCCGGTGAGTGCTCGCACTCGCACTCGCCTCGCAGCCACGCCACCGTCGAGCACGAGCTGCGGCGCCTGCACGAGCTGGAGGCGCTCGTGTTCAAGGACTTCCGCCGGTGAGTGCTCGCACTCGCACTCGCCTCGCAGCCACGCCACCGTCGAGCACGAGCTGCGGCGCCTGCACGAGCTGGAGGCGCTCGTGTTCAAGAACTTCCGCCGGTGAGTGCTCGCACTCGCACTCGCCTCGCAGCCACGCCACCGTCGAGCACGAGCTGCGGCGCCTGCACGAGCTGGAGGCGCTCGTGTTCAAGGACTTCCGCCGGTGAGTGCTCGCACTCGCACTCGCCTCGCAGCCACGCCACCGTCGAGCACGAGCTGCGGCGCCTGCACGAGCTGGAGGCGCTCGTGTTCAAGGACTTCCGCCGGTGAGTGCTCGCACTCGCACTCGCCTCGCAGCCACGCCACCGTCGAGCACGAGCTGCGGCGCCTGCACGAGCTGGAGGCGCTCGTGTTCAAGGACTTCCGCCGGTGAGTGCTCGCACTCGCACTCGCCTCGCAGCCACGCCACCGTCGAGCACGAGCTGCGGCGCCTGCACGAGCTGGAGGCGCTCGTGTTCAAGGACTTCCGCCGGTGAGTGCTCGCACTCGCACTCGCCTCGCAGCCACGCCACCGTCGAGCACGAGCTGCGGCGCCTGCACGAGCTGGAGGCGCTCGTGTTCAAGGACTTCCGCCGGTGAGTGCTCGCACTCGCACTCGCCTCGCAGCCACGCCACCGTCGAGCACGAGCTGCGGCGCCTGCACGAGCTGGAGGCGCTCGTGTTCAAGGACTTCCGCCGGTGAGTGCTCGCACTCGCACTCGCCTCGCAGCCACGCCACCGTCGAGCACGAGCTGCGGCGCCTGCACGAGCTGGAGGCGCTCGTGTTCAAGGACTTCCGCCGGTGAGTGCTCGCACTCGCCTCGCAGCCACGCCACCGTCGAGCACGAGCTGCGGCGCCTGCACGAGCTGGAGGCGCTCGTGTTCAAGGACTTCCGCCGGTGAGTGCTCGCACTCGCACTCGCCTCGCAGCTACATCACCGTCGAGCACGAGCTGCGGCGCCTGCACGAGCTGGAGGCGCTCGTGTTCAAGGACTTCCGCCGGTGAGTGCTTGCACTCGCACTCGCCTCGCAGCCACGCCACCGTCGAGCACGAGCTGCGGCGCCTGCACGAGCTGGAGGTGCTCGTGTTCAAGGACTTCCGCCGGTGAGTGCTCGCACTCGCACTCGCCTCGCAGCCACATCACCGTCGAGCACGAGCTGCGGTGCCTGCACGAGCTGGAGGCGCTCGTGTTTAAGGACTTCCGCCGGTGAGTGCTCGCACTCGCACTCGCCTCGCAGCCACATCACCGTCGAGCACGAGCTGCGGCGCCTGCACGAGCTGGAGGCGCTCGTGTTCAAGGACTTCCGCCGGTGAGCACTCGCACTCGCCTCGCAGCCACATCACCGTCGAGCACGAGCTGCGGCGCCAGCACGAGCTGGAGGCGCTCGTGTTCAAGGACTTCCGCCGGTGAGTGCTCGCACTCGCACTCGCCTCGCAGCCACGCCACCGTCGAGCACGAGCTGCGGCGCCTGCACGAGCTGGAGGCGCTCGTGTTCAAGGACTTCCGCCGGTGAGTGCTCGCACTCGCACTCGCCTCGCAGCCACGCCACCGTCGAGCACGAGCTGCGGCGCCTGCACGAGCTGGAGGCGCTCGTGTTCAAGTACTTCCGCCGGTGAGTGATATCCTAACTTAATGTATTCTTCAATAACTCTTACATAATCTTGTTATAACTTTTTGTTTTGATTTAGCCTTCTTTCTAGTCAATAAAATCTTTTAAATGCTATTTCTTTTGTTTCTCCTATCTCTTCTAAGTAATTAACATTTTTAAATGCTAGTTTGACCATATATCGACCATCTGTTGTTCTTGAATGTGTTGCAGCGTAAATATTTTCACATAATCTTTCTTCCGCTGTAAAATTTCTCTTTTCTGTAGTTTCTATATCCCACATATTTCTTAACATATTATCTATGTCAAGATGGTGATGCAATACTATGATGTCTTCAGAAGATGAAGTATTTGATATTTCTCCAAATAGTATCCGTCCGAGGCTGGTTTCTTGCGCACTTGGAGTACCTGGTTGACCCTTGATAACATTGCCTTTTAATATTTATGTATATACTTCAAGTCCTAACAGTGCATCGATTCTTCCTGGTGTGGCAAATTGAGGGTCAGCTAAAGTCAGTTTTAAATGTGTCCAATTGTTCATCGGTTCTGTTGTCTTACAAGGTAGCTTTGTAGTCAATGGTGTAGAGTCTACGTTAAACTCAATGTTAATTCTATACTGTAGACGAAACGTACGCTTTAACATTGAGTTTAAATTGTTTTTCGTAGTTTAATAATACTTCAAAACACACCACATGACTGATTGATGTTTTGGTAGAACCAAATCCATAAATAGTGCCATGTACCCTTTTTCTTTTGAGTTGCAAAAGTTGTATTGCTCTCTCACTAATGAAAGACGCCTGCGAACCTGGATCAATTAGTACTCTCAACATAGTGACATGTTATGTGTCACTTTTAATCGGTACTAAAGCGGTGGCCAGTAAAACATTTCTAGTATTGGACGTAAAGTGTGAAGCTATTGATACATCCGATATTTCCTTTTCAGTTTCTTCTACGTTTGTAAAGAGGTTAACCCTGGTGAATGTTTATTTTCTTCTTTATTTTTTTCTAGCGTAGCGTTTTCTAGGTAAGCGTTCGAGACCCGGGACGATGAACAAAATATGTTTACGACGACGTTGACTCCTTACTTATCCGGCTCGAAGGACCACTATGTAATTGTAATAGAGTTGTTTTTTGATTGGGGTTTAAATAGAGCAATGAAATACGTTCTTTCTTGAATACGTTTTATTTGCAACTGTCTATAATAAGGTGCACAAATGATAATGTTCGCGCCAAACGCTAATTTCAGGAACGAACGCGAGAGGGCGCGCGGCTCAGTGTCATACCGGTTTGACATTCGGTCGTGCGTAAAACGCCCAAGGGCAGTCAGTCGTCTTTAAGCAGTGCTAACGATTGGCACGCTGTCATTTTTATTGGGAACTCGGAATAATTAAGCGCGGGCAGTAAAAATACGGTCTAGGATTTGTGGCGCGCATCCCTACTAGAGAGCTTCCCCGGGACACATTGTGTCTGACTCAGAATCTGCATAAGTGCATTCGGCAATATTAGCTAGTGCGGCCTCTGATATTCTAGAACTAACTGTTGCAACGCGAAACGGTAGTGACCTTTGATCCAGAAACTCCGTGTGCGTTTTGTGTGGTAACCTTATAGCCAGCGATAGTTAGTGGCTTCTGTAAGTTAGTTAATCGTACGATAGAGTTAATTGACTGTCATCGTGACGAACGAGGAAAGTGAATGTGGACCACGCCTCGGAGGGCCCCCTCAAGTTGGAGCGGTATCGACGCCCGGGCTGCTGCCGACGGCTAAGGTCTAGGTTCAATCACCATCAGTCACACCCAGATACACATCACATCACTTTCTTTCCCTTGCACTACACAACCACATGCGACCTGACCGACTCCGGAGGGACCAGTCGCCGTGGATTTAGGTAAGTAAGCTACGTCCAAATTCCTTCCGGTCGACTGGCCGTAGTGTAACGCTCCCCCATATATTTTAGTGTAATAGAGAGATTCCACGTGGCGACATTGAGGCCCGACCTACGTCTGCTCGGGAAGTCTTCTGCTCATGGGCCCCTGAGGATTGACCCTTTAAGGGAGCAGCCGTAGGCCGTAATAGATAATATGGGTTTAAGATCCTAAGATATTCACTTCTAATAAATGCGTACGCAAAATTGACTTCTATGCCACAGACAGTAATGTTTATTCATTTGAATACCTACCCTCATTTTATGTGCTTTTAGTTGTGTTTGAGATGGCTATCTATCTAGTGTAACACGTGTAGTTGTATTTTGTTCCAGCGACATGATCCAGAAGCTGCGTCGTCAGAGCGTGCGCGCGAGCTCGATCACAAAGGGCAAGCTGGGGCTGGGCTCCAACCGCAGCCAATCCTTCGTAGCACACCCGCCGCCGTCAGAACGCCGAGATATCGATGGGTACTATACTTATAGCTTTAATCTAACGCCCACTGCTGGGCATAGTGCTGTATTCTGGTCTAACTGCAAATTTGCATTCTAGCCTATCTTCAATTTTATCTGTCGACTTCCTAAAAGGAGACGGTATTCAATTCGACAGTGTTTTTTTTATGTGTGTTACCTCATAACTTTTTACTGGGTGAACCGTTTTCGATGATTCCTTTTTTATTTGAAAGCTGGTACTTCTCGTGTGGTCCCGTATGAATTTGATCAAGGCCAGACCAATCGTTTTTGAGTTATTCTTAATAACTTATATTGAAGTCGGCTGTACAAAATTTTTAATTTTTAATTATTGTATAGCATTTCATCTCTGCACGGATAAATTAGGTATGAGTTAATGCGTTTGCGTATTTATGCTGTCTGCCAATGATCAGTGATCACCCCTCCCAGTTTCACCGACTGCGACCCACACTAGTCTGCTCAGTATCGCTAACAACGTTTTGATCGATGTCTGATGTCACTATGCTGTTGGCAACTGCCCGCGGATCATACTTTCATCATCATTACAGCCTTTGACAAGCCTACTGTAGAGTATAGGCCTATCCCAAAAAAATGTCACAAAACACGGTCCTTCGAGGTTAGCCAAAATGACATCTTACGGTCGTTAATGCTATAGAAAATTATAAAAACGAATGGGAATAGCATATCTTAAATGTTAAGTCACGTGACTTTCAGACTTAAGCGTTGATTTCAATCATATTTAAAGTTTTCAATGGCGTTAACGATCGTAGAATGTCATCATGGCTAGTCCCGCTAAGCCACCTGCAACCGTCGATTTATTGCATGTCTTACCAGGTTGTCACTCCATCTTGTTGGAGGTTGCCCTACACTTTGCTTACCGACACTTTAGTGGCATTATTTCTGAAAAATATACACTCGCTAGCTTACTGGAGCTAGCAAATTTTAGAAAATTAAAATATTACTTTTACTGAAAGAAGTTTTATGTAAAATAAGTGATATTTATTCTGTAAATACTAGGATATATATACACACTCCACGGAGTCAGTAATTCATCCTTGGGGATATGTATACGCTTTTATAACAAAGTACCACTACTACCAACTTTATTAAACAAATATTTTATAAAAGGGGTTATTATAATATTCAGGAATTTATGAAATATAATAACCCCTCAGAATGAGGTGGTCGCCACCAAGCTAAGCATGATCGTAATTTATTTTAAACAAATGGTCTCGCTGGTTTTCTTGCTGTTTCTTCCCAGGACAGAGGTATTTTTCGAAACAGCGGTAAATTAATCATAAGAGTGACTTTCAATAACTTATTTATAAGCTATGTTAAAAGTTTTCTTTATTTCTATATCACTAGTCCACTGCTTAACGTAGGAGTCCCCTGGTCTTGAACCATCTACACCCATCGACTCTCTGCATGTTTTATCAAGTTATTACTCGCTCGCTGAATAATTTACAATACGATAAATTTATTAACCGGCTTAGAAAGAGTAACTTAATTCGACTGTTTTTTTTTATGTGTGGTTACCTCAGAACTTTTTTCTAGGTTATGGCAACACATAATGGGGAAATTTATAAAGGGTAATGGACAACACTCCCTCTCTAAAATAAATAAATCTCTAAATCTCTAAATTCGTGACTCCAAATGTCAAACAATTAAATACTAATGTAATTTTAAATGGGGAGAAACTGAGTCTTGTAGATACCACCATTTTTCTTGGAATCACACTAGACGCGAAGCTTCAATGGAGCCCCCATATATCAAAACTAGCAAGCAGACTTAGTTCTGCAGCATATGCTGTAAAAAAGATTAGAAGTCTAACCAGTGTTGAAACAGCTAGACTAGTTTACTTCAGCTACTTCCATAGCATAATGTCGTATGGTATTTTGCTATGGGGACACGCAGCTGACACAGAAATTATATTTGTTTTGCAGAAGAGGGCCATAAGAGCAATTTATGATTTAAAGCCTAAAGAGTCGCTGCGACAAAAATTTAAGGAAATTAATATATTAACTTTGGCCTCTCAATACATTTATGAAAATTTAATGTACGTACACAAAAATAAAAGTAGTTTTATAAAAATAAGTGATATTCATTCTGTAAATACTAGGAACAGACACAAGCTAGTAGTACCAGTTACTCGACTCCATCGAGTCAGTAATTCATTCTTGGGGCGATGTATACGCTTTTACAACAAAATTCCAGAAAATATACAAAGTTTGGCCTGTTCAAAGTTCAAAAACTTTATTAAACTAAGTTTGTATAAAAAGGGTTATTATAATATTAAGGAATTTATGGATGATAATAACCCCTGGAAATGAGGTGATCGCTACCAAGCTATTTCTAATTTGTTGTGTTGTTAATTTGTGTAACATCATGATTGTAAGCTGTTATTTAAAAAAAAAAGTCCCGCTGGGTTTCTTGCTGGTTCTTCCCAGGACAGAGGTTTTTTCCGAACCAGTGGTAATCAAACAAAAGAATGACTTTCAATAAGTATTATTTATAATCTATATTGAATAAAAAAGTTTCTGTTTCTGTTTCTGTTTCTGTTTCTGAACCGATTTTGATAAATTTTTTTTATTTGAATGCTGGTGCTTCTCATATGGTCCCATATAAGTTTGATCAAGATCTGACCAGTAGTTTTTGAGTTATCCTTAATAATGCAAATTTAATTGATTTTGACCACATTGATGATGTTCGCATTTTATTAATATTGAAGTAGATTGTACAAAATTTTTGAAATTTCGCCACCTGTTTGTTTGTACGCTGCAGAGTGATAGAAGCGAGCCTCGGCTCGTGCATGACGGTGGGAAGCGTGGGTAGCGTGGGCAGCGTGGGGAGCGTAGGCACTGTGGGCAACGTTGGGGACTCTGGCGAGACACTGCTGTTGGGCGACGAGGACCGGCTGGCCGACATCATCGAGGCGGGCAGCTGGAGCTCCATGGAGAGCGAGCCCCTCACTGGTACGTGTCACAGCGGCTGGACATACCTGTCCCATACATTGTCACCATTTAGCGGAGTTGGAATCGATACATCTTTTACACGGTAAAGCCTAGAGAGGTCAGTTCGACCGGGAAAAAACCACGCTCTTAAAGAACACCAACGTAAAATAGCACATAAATGCTGGGTTTTGTAGACACCTGAAGATCCTTTTTCTGGTAACCAGGCATTGTATATTAGTGCTTAGAGATGACCACACATCTGATTTTTAATTGAGCGCGCATTTACTTACCATCAGATGAACTGTATGCCTGTTTACGTTATTAATATCTATCAGACGAAGTGGCGGTTGCAACACTTAATGTACGCTTTGAGTTCCTTGGGCTGTCATAATATGTATCGGACAGATTGTATGAAGCGCAAGTTTGTGGTAGTGTATCTACTGTATCCGCAATCGGATTGTCGACGCGACGGTCATTTTCCATCGTTTTTTATTTTATAGAATTGTTAATTATTCATGTTATAGTAGTTTGATATTTTATTATTCTCTAAATTTGTATCAGTTAATTATTTATTCTTTTTGACATACTACCTAATTTTTATTTGTATATAGGTATATAATTTAGTACTTTTTTTTGGATGACATATGAGAAATGTAAATTTATATCAGTTGGTGTGTTGTCGTTTTTAATTGCATTGTGTTAGGTGTTGTTGGATTGATTTTAATAAATAAAAATATAAAATATCATTATCGGAATGCAAATGGTGGTTGACTTTGCTGGTCAGCGGCATAGCGTCAACTGATAGATATCTGTATAACGTGTCGTAATATGTATAACGTGATGGTTACACAACGGAATAGTAGTTCATTAGAGAAATTGCGTATTATGTAAAAAATTCTAAAATAGATGCATATAAAATGACTGTGGACGTGGAGGTGTATCTCAAGAACACATTGAACATGCCGAACGATGTGACGGGCATATGCTAAGTCACTGGAATAGTATATTAAAAAGTAATTTTACATATTTAAGAAACTAACATTAGTATTTAAGGTGTATAATGTATTACTAACAAATTATGGATCAAGGTCTGAAATAAAGGAATTATTATTATTATTATTTTATTATTTAAAAGTATTTTTTGGCATGCAATTGATAAATATGGTTATTTTATTCATATTTTATATTAATTATTATGATAAGACTATATCATTGTTATTTTATTCCTTTTTATTGATTTTTAAAGGTAATCCTTTTGAGAATTTCTTGGAAGAAAATCCAATAACTGAAATTTGGCCTGACTTTGTATTAGATAACCAAGGTAGCCAATTTGTTTGTTCATTATATTAGAATATTATATAGGGTGGAAACGATTAGTGCATTTATTCGATTATTTGGAAACTTTACAAATTATTATAAAACACAAAATACAAATACAAACACTCACGCCTGTCACCGGAGGGGTAGGCAGAGACTATGGACTTTCATTTGGTGTGATCCTGACATACCTCTCTCGCCTCCTTTACATCCATATATCTACGCATACACGCTCGTCGGTTAAGGTTACTCCCAATCTGGCCCATTTTCAATGTATCGCCGATTTGGTCGATAAACCTTCGTCTAGGGCGTCCCTTCCCGACTTTTCCGTTCACTTCTGAAACATAAATTTGCTTTGTCACTCTTTCCTCGTTCATTCTTTCTACGTGATCAAACCATCGAAGCATTCTTTTTTTATTATAAAACTAATAGCAAATGTCATAAGTGCATCAATTAGGAAATTAAATAAATCCTTTCTGTCTATTTTTTATGAAATGTGTATAACACTTGTACGTAATTAAGTCAATACTTAGAATTTATGATTTTTTGTAAAAATATAATGATTTTGTTAGTTTATGTGTTGTTGGAGTTAAATAAATGACATAAGTGATTTCCCGCAGGACCGTCGCGCACTATGTCGCTGCGCGCTCGCAGCTCGGGGGGTGCGGGTGGTGCGGGTGGTGCGGGGGGTGCGGGGGGTGCGGGGGGTGCGGCGGGCGGTGCGGGCGTGCAGCGGCAGAGCTCGCTGCCCGCGCCCTCAGAGAAGAAACGCAGGAGCGAGCCGGCGTCCGGGTACGTGCACCGCCAACCGAATCACATCACATTACGCCGCATATCCCTATGCGAATACCTTTTTATAAATAAAAAGTATCCAAGCTATTGGTATTCGTGTTTCGAATAAAATATTTTTTACAACGAAAAGCCATACTGCAGCTACATTATGGTTGTAACACAAATGGATCGGCTTGACCGACATAAGACCACATTCTCACAGAATACCATCAGGAAGTAGAAGCTTGTTTAGTGCAGGTGACCAAAGCCCCCCCCCCCATAACTTGATAGAAAAATTTAAAAAATAAAAGACTATCCTAGAAGGGTACCAGCACCCCTGGAATGGAGAATTTCTCACTGAGCATCCACGCTCAAGCTTACTTCCTCTTCCTGAGCGTAAATGCTCAGGCTATTTATGGGATAGGCTTATTCTATGGGACATACTCCGCAGATACTCCCGCTCACTACTAACACTTCACGGGGCAAACACCGATAAAACCATAGCGACCCCTGCTACACTAATCGTGGACTTCTGCAACATCAGGGAATTTTCCCCAAACCATAACTCCATCCACTACTATCTAAACACGGCAAAGCCGGCCTTGTTCTTTTTTAATTAAAACACAAATGTCCTCTTTGACTAATACTTCGTACCTTTCCTACCCCGGGTACAAATTAGAACTAGTTCGCCTTCCTTTGAAAACCCATGAGGCGTCTGATCTCTCTCCAAAGCTATTCAGGGGAATTTCTGTAAGCCATCACTTCCATCTTTGCACAGGAAGGACAACTCACTGGCCTCCGCCGCAAAAGAGAAAGCCGACTTTTTAGGCTCTCTTTTTGTGTCCAACTAGACTTTCGATAACGTGGAAAACACACCGCCGACCATGCCATGGCGTGAGTACTCTATGCCTGATGTACGATTCACACACTTCTCTCCCTGGACATCCACAAGTCGGGTGGGCCTACCGGATGGTCCACCATTTTTCCGTTACGCGTATTCTTCCGTCTTACGATATTTTCAATACACTATAAACTATTAAAAACGTATACTTTTAGATTCACCTGGATTTTATTAATAACGACGCTTTTCTAATTCAGAACGTCGGCGGAAAATCAAGGACAGACGGATAGCAAGCAAAATAAAGCGAAGACCACAGAGCCCAACATCGATTTCGAGCTGGACGTGAAGGTGCACATCAACAGCGGCAAATGTGTACTGCACACCAAGGAGTCTGGCAGAGAGGATGACATGAAGATGTAAGAATGTTTCTGGCTTTGATTCTTCTTTAATAGTTACCTTTTTAACTTCCCGCTTTGAAAATCAATGATTTTCAAAAAATCGGGTTGTTGGTTTCACCTCAGTTTTCAAAACCGATGTTTCATCAGATTTCAACGTTTTGAGGTCCTAGGAAGCTATTCTGACTATTCACACACCTCTCGTAACTTTTAAATGGTTTTAGCTTCACTAAACTTAGATTTTCTATACCATTTGAACCGGTAGATTTAGTGAAAGCTCAAAAATAAAATTTTCAAAAAAATGTATTTTAGAAATATTTTTAAACAGATGTAATGATTAAATGCAAAATCTAATCAGCTCTTGAACTCGAAAAACGCCGTCGATTGCTCCAAACTGTATCAAAGTCGGTGGATGCGTTGAAGAGAAACCGTTAATGAAAAATTTTGAAAAAAGGATTATTTTTTCAAATAACTGAAATTTCTTTTCGGATCGTTTTTGATGGGTAGGATTTGGAGCGTTTTGCATTTGTAATTAGCGGGAAGTTCCAGGGATGGCCTGTAGGGTCAACCGTATTGAATTATTTATGATCTTAATGTTGATACAAAATCAATGTGTATATTATTATTTGAATAATTATAAGAAATTGCTTTGTAAATGTTAGCTCGCTTTTCCGCCTTTGGTGGGATTATGTAACTCTGTTGGAAAACGTCATTAGCTTTTCTTTTGACGTTTGATTTCGTTTTTGTAACGTATTGTGTCGATTATAAGCCGATATCTCTTTTATATGTTGTATTTTGTGTTTAAGTGTTATTAATGAAAATCGAAAATAATCGATTTCCACTTTCAAATGATTCCCAGTTAAGTTACACAGTACCGCACTGCTGCATATAATATCCAGTTGCAATAATTTGTATCGTCCGTGCGTGTTGCAGCAGCGGGTCGCGCGTGCGCGTGGGCCGCTCGACGTCGGGCGGGCTAGCGGGCGCGGCGGGGGGTGCGGTGGGAGGCTCGGTGGGGGTCGCGGCAGGGGGTAGTACGGGTGTGGGTGCAGGTTGTGCGGGGGGCGCGGGGGGCAGCGAGGCGAACTCGCCGGGCGCGCGCCGCAAGCCGCGGCTGCCGCCCGCGCCGGACCTCACCGTGTTCCGCGTGCCCGGCCTGCAGCTCAAGGTATACACCACACCATACATATAGTATACATTACATTGGCGATGGAGTGATTAGAGTGAGATCAAAAACGAAATGTACCGGTGTGAGTGATATGTGCATGTGTGTGAGACGAATAGTGCTGCGCCATGCATCGACTTCAATTATCGATACAGAGCGCTATGTCCGTGTCATAAAATGAATATTTTATGTTGAGGGCATAAAAATAAAACTACAAACAAAGTTTGGGATTTTTATTTACCACCAAAAATAATTAATTTATTGTAAAAATGTAGTAAGCTCTCCTTAGGGGAATTTTCAAATTTTGCTTCATACTTCAATTTAATAATCAAATAAATTTCGATTATTAATTTAATAATTATTAAGTTAGTTTAGTGTTTATGGTTTGATATTGTTGGCGAATCATACATAATATGTATGTCAAGTATGTTAAAAAAAAATGCAGTACACAAGGCATTCGTTTAATAATTTTCAAAACATATTTTCGTTTACAATTTTTCCTTTCATATGTTTTCAGAAAATTCGTATTTCGAAAAGTTTTCCTATCTCATAAACCTCTTGAGAGGAATGAGCAGTAATAAACAGCAGTGCTTACACTGCCGCGTTCCAGCCTGTTGTGTACAGAAGAGCCTGTATACTTATAAGCTGTAAGGCATTTTATCTTAGTCCTCAGGAGTGTAAACACATTTGTAGCTTTCTTTGTTTGAAGCTGACTGTAGGTGACCATGTAACTGCAGTAGCCGTTTACCATCAAGTAATACTACGAGTTCCTTTGTTACTCTCGTTTTATAAAAAAATATACATCATAAGGATGACGACAACAACTTGTACACATTTGAACATGCGCAAACGAAATAAAATGAATGAAGGAACTACGCATGAGCATAAATATTGAACCAGAATGCAACTTTACTCTTTGTGCACTTGTTGTGCTTTGCTTTGCTTTGTATATTTTTTTGGAACCCAGTCTTCTCTATTTATAATTTTCAACCATTTTTGTTTTACCTAAATATTTTTTGGAAACCTGAACATTACGAAGGCGGCACTGAAAATTTCGGGAATCAAGAAAGTGACACAACATTACTATTTAAAAATGTATTTATTGCTTTTCGAAGTATTCTCCGCGAAATTTGACACATTTTTCCATACGACGGAACCAATCATTGAAGCAACCATTCCATTCGGAAGTTGGGGTCTCCAAAATGGCCGTTTTGTATGCGTCCACGCAATTTATTCTTTATTTTAGGGAAAGTATAGAAATCATTAGGGCTTAGGTCGGGGCTGTACGGCGGATGGTTTAATAATTCTACGTGTTCTTGCTCTAAAAACTCTTTTGTTCTGTGTGCGGTGTGAGAACTCGCATTGTCGTGATGGAGGATGATGCGGCGGTTGCAGTTCTCTTTACGGAGTTCAGAAACGACCTGTGGCAAACAAATGCTAGCATACCATTCTGCATTAACCGTTCTTTGTCACTCAAGAGGAATAGTCGTAACATGGCCGGGTTTGGAGACAAACGTGGCCACCATTTTTTTTGCAACACTCCGTGAACGAACAATTTTTGTTGACTTTAACTCATTTTCAAACACCCAAACTCGTGACTGGTTTTTTGTTTCGGGTTCGTACGCGTATATCCAGGATTCGTCACCTGATACGATGTTGTATACAGCATTTGAGGATCCTGCGTGGAATCTTTCGCGAGTTCTGACGCACCAAGTAACGCGAGCCGCTTTTTGTTCTTCACAGAGCGAATGCGATATTGATAGTGTCAATCTCTACAAAAAGTAGATCAAAAATACCGGGAATTCACGTATTTTTTATTATTTTTAACATAATTGTTACGCATTCAGAGCATTATCATAATAAAATGCGATATTTGGCCCTATCCATTTGTGTATAAATTATTTTTACCAGTTCTAAAATATTGCATTTAGAGTGCTAAATATTTTAATTGTACTTGCGTGTGAAATGTATAATTTTGTGGATTTTCTTTTGTCGAGGAACTACATTTAGGTACTGCACACATCACCATATTTAATCACACCTTTTAAACACATTAATACTTCAAAAGCAAAAGCTAACGTGAAAATAAGCGGATTTTTTTTCTTATATTTATATTTTTTTCTTATATTTTTTTTAGTCTTTTTAAAAAACGTTACCACCACACTAGGATTTTCTCCTGTATCATGGAGGCAGTTTGCAAATATAAATTGCATGAGGACAAACATCCAGACCCGGAAGAATTATTTGTAAGCCATACAAATACTTGTTCCGTGCGGGATTCGAACCTGCGGCCCCCAGCGCAACATCTCATTGCTAAGCCACTGCGCCACGAAGCCGTCTAATTAGTTTTGGATTTGTTTCCTTAAAGATTGACGTCATCTCGATATATAGGCCTATAGCGTGTACGTATATGGTATAGCTATTCTATCTCATTCTAACGTAAGCATATGCTATGCCCTTTCTCTTTTACATTGCCAATCTAACGTAAGTATATACTAAATCTATGCACCACACACACATCAATGATGGCTAAGAATCTTCCGCTCACCAGATGTCGCTAGTTGACACTGAGATGAAGGTTTTTGTTACACAATGTCGTTAGTGGAGAAGTTAGTTTTAAATAACAGTTTATCAGTTTTTTAGAGTATTTATAATTTATAATTTACAAAACAAGGCCTGAATTGGTTTGCTCTTTCATTTTTTTCAAATTTTAACTCTTTTTTTTAATTTTTCTACTTTTAGGAATATCTGTGGTTTGGTCTAATTAGTATAAAATGTAATTAATAGTACCATGAGAAACATTAACCATTACATTTTTCGAACAAATTAACTTTCACGTTATTAAATCTGTCAAATATTATACATCATTTTAAGTGGCGCCGCTCTGATAGCAGCCAAAGCTGTGAATGCCCTCATTCTCTTGCACCAACTTGTTCCAACCAATCTTCCACTTTGAAGAAAAACGCTTGATATTTTTTTAGAATAAAATTGTAGCCTGTATACGTCCCACTAACAGTGGGTTGGGTTATACCTCCTTACATTTTTTCTATCTAATAAATTTTAAATATTAAATACACAAAAAAATTACAAATACTATAAACAAAATTTTAATTACAACGTATAAGTTATTAAATCTCTGACCTATATACGTCCCACTGCTTGACCCTCCTTTTTACTAAGAGAAAGAGAAATCTAAAATCTATTTAACTACGTAATTTAATTTTTTTATTAAATAATTTTACATAAATATTTTTAAAAAGGTTTATTTAGTTTTAATGAGTCAATGTTTGTTGAAACAACTTCCTAAAAATACACTTATTTACTTACCATAGATTACAATATTAATGCTACACGCGAGTAACTTTTATGTAGCAATTCTGATTAATATATACACCAGAATTATTAGCAACAATATGTTCTGAATTCTTATAATTCACATTTTTATAAATCAGTCAGATAATCATTATTACAACTCGTCATAACTCCATTGCTCCCTCGAAGAACGTCACAAATCACGGTGTTGAGCCACCTGCATACATCAACTATTAGTATTTACTCCATTTAGTTAGAAACCACCTTTCACTGCGCTCACTAGTACAAGACTCCACTCGAGAATATTTATTTCCAATCGGTTGTTAGTTCTTCGAACCACATATATAATCAGCCCATAGCTAATTCAACTACTAATCCATTGAGCTATGTTGGTCACTCTGATTCTACTGCGGATATCTCTGCATCGTGAATTCTATTACACAAAGCATATCTGAGCCATATATTCTTCAAAAAACTAGATTATATAACCTATGCGTGTTGCCAGTGATTACAAATGGATCTGATGATGAAATTCATAACTCCAAATGTCTAACATCTAAATACCAATGTAATTTTAAATGGGCTGGAGTTTTGTCGATACCACCGTTTTTCTTGAAATCACTAGACGCGAAGCTTCAGTGGGCCCTCACTATCAAATCTAGCAAACAGATTTAGTTCTGCAGCATATGCTGTAAAAAAGATTAGAAATCTTACCAGTGTTGAAACAGCTAGACTAGTTTAGCTATTTCCATAGCATAACGTCGTATGGTATTTTGCTATTGGGACACGCGACTGACACTGAAATTATATTTATTTTACAGTAGAGGGTCATAAGAGCAATCTATGACTTAAAATAAACTAAGTTTGTATAAACAGGGCTTTATGGATGATAATAACCCCTGGGAATGAGTTAATCGTTATCAAGCTTTTTCTTATTTGTTTTGTATTGTTAATTGTGTAACATACATGATTGTAAGCTGTTATTTATTTAAAAAAAAGTCCCGCTAAATTTTTTACTGGTTCTTCCCAGGACAGAGATTTTTTTCCGAACCTGTGATAAATTAAATAAAAGAGTGACTTTCAATAAGTATTGTTACGGCTCTCAGTTGCCCAGACAGAAGTCGACTGTATTAGGGCCCATCAATAATACACTCGACGAGCAACCAGAGAGTTCGGGCCCAAATGGCCTTATGGACAATTGACCTATCATACTACACAATAGGGAGAAGGCTAGGTAAATAAATAGTACGCACCTGGATCCGAAGCTAAGACCGCCCCAAGGCTCGGTCAGGTCGTAAGTAGGTGTAATGCATGTAAGTGGTGTTTAGTGGTAGTGTTTATTTATGTGACCTGGCCCAGCTGAGGTGACCGGGCAGCGGCCTGGTCCCATGCTGCCCCCCGATGCTGCATCACTCTAGCAGGCGTCACCAAGTGACCACTTCTTTCTTCATGTCACTGTTTCAGTCTATCAACTTTATTGTACATTTAACTAACTTCAACTCAATTAATTCAACGTTTTGCGTAAAATCATACACGTGATGCCCGACACAAGTAACGAACAGTAGTTCGTTAAAGTTAAATATTCCAGGTTCCGGATTCATTTATCACCAAATTACAAATAGGGAACTAACGCGATCTCTTCACGGGTCACAAAGTTCAGCGTTACAACCAACGACTAAATTCCTTCGTATTATATTAAATACTACGCCGCAATAAGAATTCAAAATCAACCTAGCTGACGCACAAAGTAACTACAGAGTCAACACACAAAAGGCTCTTAACGCGACGGCACAGTTACACAATGATTTCCAAAACAATCAACCGGGCGACGCCCTCGAAATGGAATGCGCGGTTGAAATTCCAGACCGTATCTCTACTCGGCGCGCGCGCAAGATTCCACGGCACACGAACAAGTTAAATATTGCAAAATGCACTTCAACACGCAATCACTATATAATTGGCGCAATTACTTTAAAAAGAAATTACTTTAATCCGTCAAATACAATACAAGCCTCTTGTCACGAACTTTCAACTTAGACAAACTAAACCGAGGCTGTTTTCACGAAATCACAATTCAGTAGCGAAGTAACGCGCACAAATTCTAAAAATGTAGACCCTAACCCAAAAAAACCGGTCGCGCGAAACATCTGCAGCGGTCACCAAAATACGCTAATGGCCCGCACCGCTGCCTTCGAGCTACTGTCTCTCTTAGCCCAGCGCCGGAATTACCGGAGCTGGTATACTCGCCCCCCCCCCCCCCCCGCCGTTGGCGTTACCTCACCTCGACACCATCGAGTGATTCGCTAAGTCGAAGGCGATTGGATGCCGTCTCAATGACCATTTTTGGACCTAAACAAGTATTATTTATCATCTATATTGAATAAAGAAGTTTTTGTTTCTAGGACGTGGTCACTGCTGGCCGTATGTGGAAGCTTAAGATTTTCTGAGTTTGTTTTGTTCGAAATTTCTCTGCGTGATAGAAATCAGTGAATGATTTAAATTATCTACTTCACTTCAGGTGCACTACGAATCCAAGACCCTGCCGGAAGACGCGGCGTCCCCGCAGCCGTTATGCGCAAGTGCCCGCAAGGTGGGCACGAAGAAGGCGGCGCTCTTCGCCTGGATCACGCTGCAGAGCATTCCCGAGGAGACGATCATCAGTCCACACATACTGGAGTTCCTCGAGCAAACCCTCGAGCCGATACCGACCAAAGCGTCATTCTCGGCACCCACACCAGGTTAGTGAAGCGGTACGCGACGAATGCTGATTTGGAATGAATGAAAAACACACAGACAGACAGACAATGTTTGAAAATGTTTTTCTTTTCTTATAAATACCGTATATACTTTCATATGCATTTAATAAAACGCTGTTATTTTTAAATTACAAACAGACTTCAATTTTACTTATTTGTATAGATATCATAAAGTTAGTAGGTAGGTAGGTATAAGTATATTTATTGGCATGGGTAGCCAATAAATATACTTATTTTTATTGGCTATCCATGCGCTGCAGCACTGACGGTTGTTAAATTACATCCCGTGTGTGTTTTGCACAGATGCGGAGAGTGCGTCCCGGTCGCGGTCTGCGGAGTACGCGTCGTACGGGCAGTATGTGTACGCGTCGTTCCCCGTGGACGTGATCGTGCACTTCCACACGCGGCCCTCCGCCTTCCGCTTCAGCTGCCTGCCCGCCTCGCGCGTCGAGTGCCTGCTGCAGCTGCCCAGCCTGCGCATCGTGTTCAGCTCCAAGCGCGCGGGAGACGAGTGAGTGAACACACACGTACACACGCACACTCACAACACATGCAGCTGCCCAGCCTGTGCATCGTGTTCAGCTGCAATCGTGCGGGAGACGAGGGAGTGCGCACACGGGTGCACACACACGCATACACACATACGCACAAATACAGTCCCAGCCTCCGCATAGTGTTCAGCTACAAGTGCGCGCGAGACGAGTGAGCGCTCGCAGATGTATTCACACACATGCACCCATACATACAGCTGCCCAGCCTGCGTATAGTGGCGAAGCTAGGGCTCCAAACTAGGGCAAGCCCAAGATATGTTTTTGTTGTTTTTAGCAGTTTTATAAAAATGTACCTTTTGTCTTTTTCGATTTTACCATTTCCTCGCCGATTAGCACTTTAACACACTTCAATTCATCACAAGAAACACTTGAATAAAACTATTTTTACGGATTTTATCGCGTTTAATTATTACTATTATTCTCCATTTTCACTAAAAATCTATAAAAAAGTATAAATTTTCAACTCAATATTGCGAGTTTCATTCGCTAAAGTAAACACACAGAGTAAACTTCGGAATATGAAGTTGTGAAGTAAACTTTGCAAACGCACGCCCCCACGCTCGACAACTTCACATTGAAAGCCTAGCTTCTGATCTCCATACTGATTGCTATATATAAACAATCTTAATTATATTTCATTACAAAACATTTTTGCGACAGGTTAGAAAGGGAGCGATCGTCTTTTCGAAAGCCCGGTAAAAAGCCCACGCGTGCGAGAGAGATGACTAATCGCTCAACTAGGTGTTCGCTTTGAGACAGAGAGAACACGAATCAGTGTATTTCAAATTGAAAGCAATCTGCCAAGTGTTGACGTTACATAATAAGGCTACGAGGTCACGACCTGTGTAGAACAGAGGAGCACGTTGAAACGGTTACGAGTTATTTTATTAGTTGATATTGTACACGCCCCTAGCTGCCCCAACAAAGCTCGACCATACAGGGGCCCATACAGCTGTAGACAGGCAACTATCTCCGAGTTACATCAAATGCCACGAGCAACTCGTCGACGCAAATTAATATTGTCAAAGCACTTCAACCGGCAATCACTATACAATTTACGCAAATTACTTGCCAACGAATTTAAGTTAATCAATCAAAATATTACGACTTCGTTATCGCGTGAACGCACTAAAGATAACCAAACATTAGAAGCGAAAACTCCAATAGTAAATTAAACGCGCATTAAGACTCAAATTCTAGACCACTGAACCAAAAAAACCGGTCGCGCGAAATCGATGCAGCGGTCACCAAAATACGCTAATCGACCGCGCCGCTGCTGTCAAGCTACTGGTACTAGCCCACCAAGCCAACGCCGGGAAGCGGCATATCGCCCCCCCCCCCCACGGCGCCGCGCATGTCACCTCACACCATCGGGCGATGCGCTAAGTCAAAGGCGATTGGATGCCGTTTCAAATGACCATGTTTGGGCTTAAACAGATATTATTAATAGGGCAAGCCGGGCTTCTCGGCTTGTATGAAAGCTTCACTACCGCCTGCGCAACGTCTTTAGCTCCCAGCGCGCGAGAGACGAGTGGGTACTGTTAGGATAGCTCGTATTGGGTCCTTTAAAAAAAAGACTCCTCTTACTGCTGCAAAACTAATTTAATTTAATTACACTTCGGAATATTATAAATTATAAGGAAGTTGTGTACCGAACAAAGGTTAGAGTTTGACTCCCTAAATTTTACGAAAAATCACTTTTATATACTTTACATAATGCTTACAATAACAATTACTCGCTTATACATCGGTTCATAACAGTACGCTCACACACGCACACATAAAGCTTCATACGCGAGTGAAACCCTATTACTCCTTTCTTACTCCTGACGCACTGTTAAAAGGAAAACAAAAGACTTATTTCCTGCTGTAGGGTTTTTAATTTATGCTTCTTTGATAAATACTATTTGCATTACAGAGAAATGGCTGAACCCGCTGTAGCAATGGGTGGCCTCAGCGTAACAGGCTGCCTGGCAGACTTCTCGGTGTACATATTCCATCCGTACGGAGGCAAGAAGTCGAGTCTCAAGGAGGCGCAATGGTCGCCGCTCGCCGACACAGAACGCAAAGACTCGCTCAGCGTCAATGTCGAGTTCGTCAAGTTCCATTTGTCCAGATCCAGGAAACTCGACTTCCAGACCGATCAGGACCAATCCAAAGCTACTGTAAGATTTTCAAGTAAGTTATGGTTTGTTGTTGTTAGCCTTTGCTAAGTATAATACTGGAGGATATACCGACAGAATACAGCAAATGGCGTACTCAATTTGAAAAATTTGCCATGGGAAGTGCAGGAGAGCCTAATATGCTCTACGACATTGGGTTATCTAGCTGCAAATTGGGATATCTCCCTCGCCTTTCTAGTGCTACGTGTGTTTGCTATAAAGTATTTCATGTAATGTGTTACAAATAATAAGTTGTGGCTGCAGCGATCGTGGACGTGGGTTCTGCGTGGTTCAAGTACGACATGCGGCGGCTGAGCGAGATCCTGGCGTTCCCGAAGGCGTGGTACCGTCGCAGCATCGTGCGCCGCATGTTCCTGGGCGACGTCAGCGTGCACCAAGACCGCCACGACCGCCACGATCGCCACGACCGTCACGAACGCCACGACCGCCACGACAGGCACGACCGACATGCACACGCCGGGTAAGTCATACTTATTAAAGACACTTATTTAGTAAAAAATCTCAAGTTTAGATTTACATTTCGGTTTGGTTGCTTACTATACCAAACTATAAATGTGGGTCTCACTAGATCTAACCTCACGATCCATATTAGGTCAAGTTAGGCTCGACTAGTACTTCGCGCCAAAAAGTGTGCAATTTTAAGAGCATATTTTTTATTTTCAGAGCTAGCAATAATGCGCCTGTTTCGCCGGTACTACCACAGAGAGAAAAAACGAAGGCCGTTGAACCACCAAAACCTAAAGGTAAAAAATCTAACACTTATGGCATTTAAAATATATTTCTTATGGTTAACATATTATATTATTAATGAATTAATATATTTCTATATCAGAAAGCAAAACGTCGAGTTCGGCGTGGGAGACGCTGGTTTTGTTTGCGGTCAACTTCACGCGTCTCAATGTACACATGAACATGGGCAACGTTATGGGAAACGTCAGGTTAGTGCATGACTCCCTGTAGCGATATTCAATTTGAATCTAATGAACATACATTTTATAGAAATAGACCTTATCACAAAAAATGAAAAACAAAATTTACACTCTTTTGCAAAAAAAGTGGGCGGTTTTGAATTTTTTTCCTACCTGAAAGAAATACTATATGGAAAAGATATTAATAATTTGAACATGTTTACAACTCTTTACTACATTTCGTAGCGCAAACTCCTGAAATATCGACGCTAGATTCCTTTTAGTCCATTTCTTTAATTATCTAATTTTCTTGACATTTTAAAGTATTGGTCTTGAAAATGGTGGGATACAGTGATAAAAATCAAATTTGAGGAGGGTTGCAGCCAGTGTTCCATTGCTCAGAGGCAAAACGCAAGTCGTTCGACCGTCCAAAGGACCTGGTAGCGCTATCAAGAGACAGGTTTCGTCAAAAGAAAGCCTGGTTCTGGAAGAAAGCCATGTACCGAACCAAGGTATGATCGTTTTCTGGTGAATCAAGCGTTTAAAAATCGCAAATCTCCGTATGTCGACCTCAAGAACAACTTTGAAGAAGTAATAAATGTTTAAATTAGTCTATGGACGGTCAAGAGGAGGCCTCTCGCGACCAATATACGCAGTCATCGCGCAGACCGTGGCCCTAAATTACTCCGTGAGCACCGAGTTGCCAGGCTTAACTTCGCTCTAAATTGCGTGTCGTTGACTCAAGAAATATTATTCCATAAGGTATTAGTTCTTCGATGAAGCCAGGATATCTCTATACGGTGAAGACGGACGTCGGCGAGTACTACGAAGACGAGGAGAACGATTTGCAAAGCCAGGTTTTGAAGAAATCACACTTTATGGTAAAGCTCTGTATGTTTTGGGCCGGAATAAATTCGTTGGATCACATTTTTTTTTTCAATAGACATAGAACTAGTCAATAGACTGGATACCGATATATAATGAAAGTTATAATTCTTCATTGTGCATGAGGAATTAGAACCCGCATTGGCCGCTCTTGGTGAAAACTCAATTTTTATGGATGACAACGCTCGTGCCCACCGGTCTGGCGTTGTTGAAGCGTAATATCCTAGAGTTCAGATTTCGTCGTTTGCATTGGCCAGCTCGAAGTCCCGTCCTAAATCCCATAGAACATGTCTGGGATGTTCTGAAGCAACGAGTGAGATCAGTGCAGCCGACTCCGCAGACGATCAGAAAGTTAAAGAATGTGATTACCGCGGAGTGGGAACGTATTTCGCTAAAAACCATAAGACATATACTCACTAACATGCCTAGACGAATGCAAGCTGTGATTTCAGCAAGAGTCGGTCACACTCCATACTAAACATATATCTACTTATACTTTATTAAAGAAATATCAAACAAAAAAACGTGTTACATTTTTAATTAGCGAACAGGTACACTACTAGCGCTTTTGTTTTGATAAAACTTGACGAAAGCTATTCCTTACTAATTAATTTACCAAATTCTGAGTATAAGACTACCTAAAATCAAGACTATCAATCAATCTAAGAGTAGCTATAAAACTGATTCTTAGCTTAGGTGCCCGTTTTTTTGCAAAAGAGTTTATTTACGTATTTATGATGTATGATGTTTTGTTTTATATTTTAACATATCCACTGTCCCGTGCATTACATACCGTTAATCGGACAGTGAATGTGTTAAGTTTTTTTTTTAAAAAATGAATTAAGAGTCAAACGTTAGTTCAGTTTCGTCACAGACTGATTTCTTTTTGCAGTAAATATATCACTGTCACACTGAGGTTCAAAATGCTCGAAGGACCAATTCCTTGCTAAATTTACTAAGGTTGTTAATCGATGAGTGAGAGAGCTCTTGTAAAACTTAATTATAATCAAAATTGGTCAAATATTTTATGCAAAACCGAAGTTGTTCCGTTTCACATTATGTTTTTGGTGGGATATCATTAAGTTTTGGAATAAATATTTATCCTTTTTTAAATTTAAATAAAAACCATGACTTTCAACGTTGTTGATTTAAGCGTCACTGTTTTCTTTTTTAATTTAAGCTATAATAATTAATAGTCAACAAAGTGTTCACTAGGTGTGGTTAATTTTTAGTACAGTATTTAGAAATAATAACTTCAATCAATAACTTTTTGCGACACCAAATATAAATAATTTTTAGTATTTAGTATTTTTCTTAATTAATATAAATTAAGAAAAAAAATAATCTTAATTTTTAATGCCAAACTTTAAGCTTCTATAGTATTTGCGTTATAGCATGGTGCGGTGTACAGCTGACAATTTAGCGTGTCTAGAGATGGAACAATGTTAAATCGATTTAAAAAAGACGATTGACGATATACAAAGCAAAGCTAAAATTATAGTATGCTATATATAAAGAAATTAAAACCGAAACATATATTTCTTTATAAATAAATTACAATGCACGTAAATTTTAGTTACAGTTTAATACAAATAATGCCATTATAGTTACATATAACACTATGTATCAATTTGAAAGTAAAAATCATCATCTATTTTATGTTAATTGCAACATTTATCTTGACATTAAAATTAATAAAATGACTGCCAACACCTGTGATTTTTAATACGGCTTTCACTACACCTGCAGCTTTTCAAGGTACGAGTGCTAGCGCCTGTCATTATATATGTATATTAGTGTTGCCAGGTCCAGTAGGTCAAATATCGGGATGGAATGTAAACATAATTGAGAATTTGGTTTACAAATATAATAAAAGAAAACACAAACAAGTTTTTGTAGCCATTTTGGCCGCCATGAGTCATATTTAAGTTTTTTTTTTGACAAAATGCGCAATGTGCTTTATAATTAGTTTTTGGGACTGAGAAAACAACAGTACCTACAACCACTTGAAGAAATTGACTAGTGTAAGAATTAATTCACAAGACTTGCATTTTACTAAATGTACTGATCTAAAACGCAGCATAAACGCAGCTGTAAAAGAATGAGACAATAAACAATGGTCGAATTGGACGACTTCAATTCATAGGGTGGCGGGGCGGGAACATCACTCGGTGAGAGAAAAAACGAAACACCTTGAATGATATCTGTATCTCGCCAACACAATAACGTAAAGTTTAAAATTTGATGTCGACTTATATAGTCCGAATTTGGTGAGAAAATGTATGAAAAAAAATAGCGAACACTGTTCAGTGCGCAGGAATTTACGTTATACAGTTTCTAATTGATCGCTATATTTATTATAATGAGGATACCAAATATTAGATGCACACTAGCTGAGATCTGACGAGAGGTAAAGGTAAGTAGGTTTTTTAAAATTCGAACAGGAGCGTATCACAAATCCATAAAATTTAAATATACCTAGAAAATGAAGGATCTCAGGCAATTTAGTGCACCTAGCTCAGATGACATACCTTGTAGGATACGTTGTTAATTTTTTTTTATAGGATAGGCTGACAGACGAGCCCACAGTCCACTTGATGGCAAGTGAGTACATCTATCCTCAATAAAGAATTAAAATGCAGAGACGTTGTCATCCGTGAGGACTAAGATGAAATGCCTCGTTTCCAGTAAAAAGGGTCTCCGGTTCTCTACACTCACTATACGAAACACAGCAGTGTAAAGCTGCTATTTTACGCTGGTATTTTATGATTGTAATTGGGTTACTTACATGGTTGTATGCTGTTATTTAAAAAAAAGTCCCGTTGGGTTTCTTGCTGGTTTTTCCTAGGACAGAGCTTTTTTCGAGCCAGTGGTAATTAAAGATAGGAGTGACTTTCAATAAGTATTATTTACAATCTACATTGAATAAAAATGTTTCTGTTTCTATTTGGTTGAACCTGTGGCGCACTGGTGTAACCTGAGCTTTAATACAGGTACCTTCGCTAATATATTCAAAAGGGCAATAGTTAGGTACACCCATATACAAATCAGGTGACAAAACTTCCCCACCAACTATAAGCCCATTTCATTGTTGACTTCCTTATCTAAGATTATGGCGAAAATTGTAAATAAAAGACTATCTGGAACACCATAAATTTATATCCGACTAGCTGGTATCCGGCGCGTTGCTGCCACAGAAAAAATAATTGTCGTAATATCGTTTTAAATTTGGAAGAGTTATATTGTTTAGTTATGAGTGATAATACATTCATTGAAGTTGTGTGATGTATAACTTTTGAATAACTTTGTCGGTACGATACGCGCGCCATCTATTGTAAGTTAGTTGTAATATGCCTATAACCTTCTCACAAGTGCAAGCAATAAGTTGACAAAGTTTTAGCGCAAGCAGATGAACGGTATGGCAGTACATAAAATGCGAACAAACAAAAATAAATGTTTATATATTAGATAAAAAGTTTGGATTTTGATGTGGACGATCTACGGATGATGCTGTCCTAAATCTTATATCACAAATAGTCAATCATCTGAATACGGATGACAAATGCCTTGTTATATTTTTAGATTTCAAAGAGCATTTGAAATAGTGTCTATTCCCATTCTACTGGCACGTATAGAAGGCCTTGGCATAAGAGTTACCCCGCCTGATGAGTTAACCTTCAACAAAACCTATTACTAAATCTTTCTAAAACAAAGTTCTTAAGCTTTAGTATTACAAATGCGAGTAAGCCGAGTATAATTTCAAAATTAGTCATTTTTAAATTTCATTGTAATAGGATTCCATCCACCACATCTAACTGCTTAAAATAATTGACTCGTATAAAAAATTTTGTGTACTTACCATATGAAAATTATACATTTTCCAGTCTATTCGTAAATATCTCAAAACTACTGCTTCTCAACTCCAAATAAGTGATAAGGGGTTTAGTACTTGATTGCTACTAAAAATGTTCAAGTCATCTGCATACATCAGAAAATTGCATTTTAAGAAACAGGAGTTCATGTCGTTAACATATAAAATGAACAACAAGAGGCAGAGATTTGACGACACACCAGAATTTACAGTCGCAACGCGAGATAAGAAGCCGTTAATTATTACCTTTTGTGCTGTTCATGATGTATGACTGAAACCAACGGGTTGCACAAATCCAAAAAGTTGCCCCGAATTCTGTTAAACGATATCTTCTGAAAAGGCATATCACTATCTACTGGTTATTAAAGGGGTTCTTATTAAGTATGCAAAATAACGAGTGTGTAGGTCAAATAGATTTCGAGTTATGGGGGCTTTGAAACTAGTTCGAATGGTTCGTATAAATACACAATGTCGGTGCGTCGTTCCTCTCTTTTCATAGACAGCAGCATAATACATCAGAATTGTTCAATTTTCGTCGTACACAGACTCAACTGACATGACAGTTTGAATCAATAACACAGCAGCATTAAGCTGCTATTTTATTCTGGTAGTCTATGGAGCGTGGACTTTTCCCGGTTGAGCTGACTCATTCGTGCTACACTCATATAGCTGCAGCATAGCTTTATCGCGTATAAAAACCGTATAAGACATTAAACGAGCGTTCTTTGTCGCAGCTGGCAGAGCCGGTCGCTGGGCGCGTCGGGGCGGCTGAGCATCGGCAGCACGCAGCGGCGCCACATGGTGGTGCGCGTGGAGCTGGGCGGCTCGGCGCTGGACGCGCGCGGCGGCATCGTCGGCGGCGCCATCTCGCTCGCCGCACTGCGCGCGCACCGTGAGTACTGCACCCCCTCCCGCCCCTCCGCCCCTCCGCCCCTCGCTCGCACGTGAGGACTGCGAGCCACATGGTGGTGCGCGTGGAGCTGGGCGGCTCGGCGCTGGACGCGCGCGGCGGCATCGTCGGCGGCGCCATCTCGCTCGCCGCACTGCGCGCGCACCGTGAGTACTGCACCCCCTCCCGCCCCTCCGCCCCTCCGCCCCTCGCTCGCACGTGAGGACTGCGAGCCACATGGTGGTGCGCGTGGAGCTGGGCGGCTCGGCGCTGGACGCGCGCGGCGGCATCGTCGGCGGCGCCATCTCGCTCGCCGCACTGCGCGCGCACCGTGAGTACTGCACCCCCTCCCGCCCCTCCGCCCCTCCGCCCCTCGCTCGCACGTGAGGACTGCGAGCCACATGGTGGTGCGCGTGGAGCTGGGCGGCTCGGCGCTGGACGCGCGCGGCGGCATCGTCGGCGGCGCCATCTCGCTCGCCGCACTGCGCGCGCACCGTGAGTACTGCACCCCCTCCCGCCCCTCCGCCCCTCCGCCCCTCGCTCGCACGTGAGGACTGCGAGCCACATGGTGGTGCGCGTGGAGCTGGGCGGCTCGGCGCTGGACGCGCGCGGCGGCATCGTCGGCGGCGCCATCTCGCTCGCCGCACTGCGCGCGCACCGTGAGTACTGCACCCCCTCCCGCCCCTCCGCCCCTCCGCCCCTCGCTCGCACGTGAGGACTGCGAGCCACATGGTGGTGCGCGTGGAGCTGGGCGGCTCGGCGCTGGACGCGCGCGGCGGCATCGTCGGCGGCGCCATCTCGCTCGCCGCACTGCGCGCGCACCGTGAGTACTGCACCCCCTCCCGCCCCTCCGCCCCTCCGCCCCTCGCTCGCACGTGAGGACTGCGAGCCACATGGTGGTGCGCGTGGAGCTGGGCGGCTCGGCGCTGGACGCGCGCGGCGGCATCGTCGGCGGCGCCATCTCGCTCGCCGCACTGCGCGCGCACCGTGAGTACTGCACCCCCTCCCGCCCCTCCGCCCCTCCGCCCCTCGCTCGCACGTGAGGACTGCGAGCCACATGGTGGTGCGCGTGGAGCTGGGCGGCTCGGCGCTGGACGCGCGCGGCGGCATCGTCGGCGGCGCCATCTCGCTCGCCGCACTGCGCGCGCACCGTGAGTACTGCACCCCCTCCCGCCCCTCCGCCCCTCCGCCCCTCGCTCGCACGTGAGGACTGCGAGCCACATGGTGGTGCGCGTGGAGCTGGGCGGCTCGGCGCTGGACGCGCGCGGCGGCATCGTCGGCGGCGCCATCTCGCTCGCCGCACTGCGCGCGCACCGTGAGTACTGCACCCCCTCCCGCCCCTCCGCCCCTCCGCCCCTCGCTCGCACGTGAGGACTGCGAGCCACATGGTGGTGCGCGTGGAGCTGGGCGGCTCGGCGCTGGACGCGCGCGGCGGCATCGTCGGCGGCGCCATCTCGCTCGCCGCACTGCGCGCGCACCGTGAGTACTGCACCCCCTCCCGCCCCTCCGCCCCTCCGCCCCTCGCTCGCACGTGAGGACTGCGAGCCACATGGTGGTGCGCGTGGAGCTGGGCGGCTCGGCGCTGGACGCGCGCGGCGGCATGTAATTTAAATGATTGTTAGGTATAATACTGGCCACCGATTTATTAATAGACCCTGTACACTACATGGTGTAGCAATCCATCGGTGGCTAGTATATATCCGGCTCGAAGGACCACTATGTATAGGCTCTTATGTGCATATACAGATTATCGTTGTCGTGTTCTTGATATCTTTAAATATATATTTGATAATACTTGCAAAAATATTTATTTTAACCTTTTCTTTTGTACAACATGTGCGCATAAATAGTGTCTGTCGAGCACTAATCTGAAACGGATTGGAACGAACTTGATATTAAAGTAATGTGTCGAGCATGGTTTGCGCTCACAATGTTTTCCGTGAATAGGGTTTATGTAGTGAGTTTCGCATATAATATATGTACCTGTATGTATGCAGTGCACGTGGATGAGGAGCCGGGGCGCAACCCAGGGCACGTATGCGGCGTGCAGCTGGCGGCGCTGGAGCTGCGGCTGGAGTACATGGGCGCGGGCGTGCTGCTGGCGCGCGTGTCGCGGCTGCGTGCCGCACTGCGGGACGAGTGGCTCGCACGCACGCGCGCCCGCCCGCCGCGCGCACGACACAACGCGAGGTACGTAGCACGCAGCACGCAGCACGCAGCACGCTGCAGCTGCAGTACATGGGCGCGGGCGTGCTGCTGGCGCGCGTGTCGCGGCTGCGTGCCGCACTGCGGGACGAGTGGCTCGCACGCACGCGCGCCCGCCCGCCGCGCGCACGACACAACGCGAGGTACGTAGCACGCAGCACGCAGCACGCAGCACGCTGCAGCTGCAGTACATGGGCGCGGGCGTGCTGCTGGCGCGCGTGTCGCGGCTGCGTGCCGCACTGCGGGACGAGTGGCTCGCACGCACGCGCGCCCGCCCGCCGCGCGCACGACACAACGCGAGGTACGTAGCACGCAGCACGCAGCACGCAGCACGCTGCAGCTGCAGTACATGGGCGCGGGCGTGCTGCTGGCGCGCGTGTCGCGGCTGCGTGCCGCACTGCGGGACGAGTGGCTCGCACGCACGCGCGCCCGCCCGCCGCGCGCACGACACAACGCGAGGTACGTAGCACGCAGCACGCAGCACGCAGCACGCTGCAGCTGCAGTACATGGGCGCGGGCGTGCTGCTGGCGCGCGTGTCGCGGCTGCGTGCCGCACTGCGGGACGAGTGGCTCGCACGCACGCGCGCCCGCCCGCCGCGCGCACGACACAACGCGAGGTACGTAGCACGCAGCACGCAGCACGCAGCACGCTGCAGCTGCAGTACATGGGCGCGGGCGTGCTGCTGGCGCGCGTGTCGTTGTGTAGGCGCTGTAGCGGCGGGTGGGCACTACATAACGCCAGGAACGCACGCAACTCCACACGCGTGGCGCTGCGAGAGTGCTACGCGCTGGCGTAGTGCCAGGCACGTAGCACGCACGCAGATTATTTTACTACCAACGTTAAGAACGTTGTTCAAATTCCAAACGGTGCCGGTGTTTTTTTGAAGTGAAAACTTCTTTAACTTCGTTGTGATTTTAAACTCAATGAAACTTTTCATTCATATTTTATATACATTACCCTATAATAATTTAAAATGATATTTAACAAAATATGTATGTATTGACTTAAATAAATAAACAAACATTTTCCCCATCCAGGCCAGCCATCATTCTCCTCCATGGCACACTGAGTTGGCACCAGCTCCAGATTCTGATGAGCCGTAGCACAACACCTGATCTACTCAAAATGCAATTGAAACTTGAGGAGTTCTTCACTCAGCAGTTCAAATCCAGCAAACGAGTGTTTAGCTCCCTGCACCCTAATTATGCAGCCGCAAGAAAGGATAAAAGGGAACGTAAGTTATAATTTTTATTTAATTAATATACTTTACTCTCTGCACGTCATTTTAAGCAGCCATTGTAAAATTACTTTTTAATTTATTTTGGAGAAGATACAACAAAATGCGGCCACAGCATAAAATTAGTAACGATTTAAAAAATATTTTAAATGTCAGATAATATATTTCTTACAAGTATCATACGTTCGCACTAGTGAGCCGGCATGTTGTCTTGCAGAATCAATATACTCATGAGCTTTTTTAGTCTCTAATGTCACACACACGCTCTCACTCACGCATACACGAACGCATACACATCATTAAATAAACTTTACTTACATACCCTACAGTATTTATAAGTAGACTATTTCCTATCGTTTGATTGTCCTAATTTTAGAATTTAAGTAATGTATAACATTAATATGAAATATAGAATATGTTTACCCATACGTTACGTTACGCTACGTATGGGTAAACATATTCTATAACATGCCCTGCAAACACAGGCGTTATTTGCTTAAATGGAGGTTCAAATCTACTAGTTTTTAAGCTATGTATTTTTTAAAACGAAATAAAATTTATTTATTTATTATTATTTATAAATTAATTTGGTTATATTTTCCATATTATCCATAAAACTCTACCAAATTAAAAAATAAAAAACTACTTTCCGACTGTTTCCGTTACCTCATTAAAAGTACATCAGCGTCATAACAGGCTTAAAATCTCGTTATAAATTCGAGTTAAACATGTGTTCAACTTGTATATAATACTTGTCATTATGTCATTTTCCGACTCTTGCTTACCATATTATATCACCATGTATCAATCCCCAATTAAAAGTCCAAAAAAATTGACTAACAAACGAAATTTTGTCTCTTTCTTACGTCGAATTAAATTTTAAATTTTCATTTTAATCCTTGAGTTCAGTTTAATTCAATTCCTGTCCGTTTTGAAGTACTGTATGCTTGAAAGTTTTTTAACGATCTAGATTCTAGACAAAAGAGCAGCGAGATACTCGGACCACCTTTAACCAAAAAATGTGTGTTTAGATGGAAAATTATGCAAGAAGTGACAGTTGAAGAGTTAGGGATCCGCGAAAAAATAAACTAAATGAAAACCCATGAAATTCAATCGTAATAAATTGCACGTGGATGAAGTCGTGGGGCACAGCTAGTATAATAATATAAATGTATACTATTGCTTGTTCATTTGAATCATTAGCAATTCCGAACCCGACAAGCGAGCAGCAGCAGCAGCAGCAGCAGCAGCAGGAGCTGCGCCACCACCGGCACTGGCAGCGCGTGCTGCGGCTGGTGTCCGGCATGCAGCTGTCCACGCTGCCCGCGCCGCTGCCCGCCAACGGTACCTGTCTACTCACGTTTAAGTCAAACTCATTTTTACGGATTTAATCGCTTATATTAACGTATGTTATATTCCCGACGTTCTAGTACTTTACAGCACCGATAAAATACTTGAAAATTACTTTCGTTTAGATGTATAGCATTTGCGTAAACATAAGAAGTCATTGTGCCTAGTAACGTTTTAAAGTCAGATTCTTGGTGAATATGTCCTTAAATTTGCTTCCATAGTGGGAGGCAATTCAGAAAACTGATCATAACAAAATCGGGGTAATACAGTTGGATGTTATAAGCCCCGCAAATTGCTGATGCGCCTGGCCGCCTTTTTGTTGACATAATCTCGTGACATTGAACACTGCTGCACCGTCAACAACACTGGCCGCCGAGTACGCGTTTCGAGTTGTGAACACGCACATTTTTATTGTTATTTTTTTCTATTTATCTCGTTTTGTTTGTTATTGTTGTTAAGTTTTGTTGTTGTTTGTTATTGTCATCATATTTGTGTTAAAATGAGTAGAAAAATAATTAATAGACAATAGAAAAAAACTAAAATAGACAAATATTTTGTAAAAGAGAAAGACCACAATAAAGTACTACTTCATAATGTAACTTGATCCCTGAAAAATGCATCTGACACTAGTGATGATGTAGTTATTTTGAAGCAAACTCTAATAGAAATTTTAAAACACTTATACAATACGACCCAAGGTCACAGAGCGTGTATTGAGCGCGACAGGGATAGCAAAAATACAGAGGCAAAATTAAAGCGCAAAAAAAGAAATAGCTACGGCTAATAGCACTAAAATCAAAACGCCAATTAAAAAAAAGAGGGACAAAAAGGAATTTATGGATGGATTTGCACATGGAACGTGAAAATATTATTAATTCCATGTATACAGTCCGCAAAGATATAATACCCACTATGCTTAAAATTATGGCTGCTGATAGACAAGATTTAGATTATAAATGAAATAAGGACGACGTTACGTATTTAAAAAATGTTAACAAAAGAGATTAATTTTAATTGAAAGACCCAATGTTCAAGCTTGGAGGACTAAGTATTTACGTCGCATGAAGGAAAATAATTCACTTGGCGATGGCATAAAAACAGTAATTCAAATAGATAAGACCTGGATTCACGCCCACTACACCGTTAAATAGTGTTGGCAGTCCGTTACAGATGTCGGAGTGAAAAAGAATGATAGCCCAGGCCACCGCTGGATAATAGTTCACGGTGGGAGTGAATTCGGATTTGTGGATAACCCACTATTAATGTTTAAAGTAGATACTTGGTAGATACAAAAACTGTTGATTATCACGACCAGATGAACTCTGAAAATTTCACAAAATGGTTAGTACAGAAACTCATACCTGACATACCACATAATTGTATTATTGTAATGAACAAAGCCTCTTATCATAGTAAAGAAAAAGATAGATCTCCCAACAAGTAATGGTTGAGTGGTTCCAGGCACGCAACATTGAGTTTCTTGAACACTGCACGTAACCGGAATTATATTTATCAATAAAAAACCTTAGAGCCCCGAAAATATATATCATATATAATTTATTGGCTGACCATGGCCACGTAGTCGTAACTTCGTAACGTAACGTAAAACTGCCGCCATATAACTGCGATCTCAATCGCATTGAATACGTCTGGAATCTCGTCAAACAAAAAGTTTCTGACAAGAACGTACAACAGCTGGAGATTAAGATCGAATCTATAACTTTGGAGGCCTTGCGTTCAATTACACCTGAAGATTGGAAAAAGGAGGTAATTCACTTGAAGAGGCTTGAAGAGGTGTACTGGCGTAAAGATAGATTAGTTGATGAATTATTTAGCAACAATACAGGAAAAGATAGTGAATCAGAGACAACATACTCAGAATCTAATTCTATATCTGATTTAGATTACATGAGTGGAGTTGAAAAATTAGGTTAGATTTTTAAATTTTTTTTATATGTAAAATAAAATAAACATTCAAAATTTTTCAAATAGTTGACTTTATTTGTAGTTTATCAGCATCACTATCACTCCCTGCGTACCGTCGAAACTATGTACATTAAAATCGGTTCAGCGGATTAAACGTGAAAGCGACAGATAGAGTTACTTTCACATCAATAATATTTGTATAAATTTCAAAACTTTTATTATCTGTAGTTTTTAAATGCGAATGACGTCACGTGGACCTTAATGTGACAATGTTCCAACACATTACCAATTTGCGGGACTTATACAACTACATACATATCTATCATCTACATCCAACATTTAATTTCTAATCTAATCAATAACTAAACGAAGCTAAAAGAATTTGTTACGTTGAGTGAGAACTGTGACGCATCGCGCGACGGACGGGGTAGCGCTCCATTTTAACGTCGTTTCGTTACGTACACGTATTCATGTAGAACACATCCCGATTTTTTTAACACTGTGATATATCATGGCTGTAGCACAAAAGGGTTGCAGGACCGGAGCAGCCTAATGCTGCTGTGTTACGTATACGGTGAGTGTAGAGAACCGGAGACCCTTTATACTGGTAACGAGGCATTCCATCTTAGTCCTCAGGGGTGACACCGCATCTGTATTTTGAATCTTAATCGAAGACATCTCATCAAGAAGTGTAGACATCTATGGGCCACAGCATGCCCTTACTCTTACCATCAGGTGGACCGTGTGCTCGTTTGTCACTCTTATTCCATTAACAAGATTCGAAACGACGTCAGTTTGTATCGAAAACCGTATGGAATTTGAAAGCCATATCGGGAGTAAGGCAGTTAATTTTAAAAGCTTAATCCCGAATCAGTTCGAATCAATAATAACGATCGAATTAAGATTAAACGTCTACGAGCACATCCAAATATTTTTTTTATCCGGAGATCATATTAATAAATTAAAATTCATATTTAAAATAAATAAGAAAACTTAACAATGAAAAGCATTCTAGTTACTTATGGTTACTCACGCCATCTAGCGGCGGACATTTGTATACTTTCCTTCTGATAATTCCGATTCGAAGCACTATTCGGTTGTGTACGAAGAGTTCAAATTAAATAAGCCCTTGTTACTGCTGGAAATTGACCGTAAACGTAGACCAAGCGGTCTACTTTCAGCAGTAACAAAGGCTGATCATCAGCTTTTGAAGAACCTCAACTCAACTATAGTTTGCTAGTACTATATATTCATCGATTGTAATATTACTGCCCTCTGTGTTAGGTACTGTTCTCGGAGGCACCATGGAGCTGCATGGCACGAATATATCGCTCGGCTGTTTCCACGGCAACAGCATGAAGGCAAAGTCGTGGGCCTTATTCAGTCTGAAAGATCCCTGTATAAGCTTTGCCACAGAAGCGCAGCAGTTAGAGACTGAAGAAGGTATGCAAAATTTTCATTTGTATATTTTATATGTAAAAATATTTTACTTAGTTTGAATAACTTATCTACCGATAACAATCGCTTGTCCTTTTACTAGATCATACAGTACTTATACCAACACCACAATCCTTAACACTCCCAACACATTTTTACGTTATATACTAGGAAATGCATACGACACGTTCACCTTTACGGAATATTAATAACTGTTTTGGAAAAAAACCTGTCCTGCTAAGAACCAAGAAGAAACCCAGTAGGACTTTTTTTTTAATAACAGCTTACAATCATGTATGTTACACAATTAACAACACAAAATAAATTAGAAATGACTTGGTAGCGATCACCTCATTCCCAGGGGTTCATCAATCATAAATTCATTAATATTATAATAACCCTTTTTATACAAAGTTTGTTTAATAAAGTTTTTAAACTTGAAAGAGGTCAATTTTGTATTTTCGGGGATTATGTTAAAAAAGCATATACATCACCCCAAGAACGAATTACTGAGTACTGCCTCGGTGAAGTCGAGTAACTGGTACTACGGCCTGTGTTTGTTCCTAGTATTTACAGAATGAATATCAAGTAATTTTTTAAAACTGCTTTTATTTAACACCACCTACCATAAAATATTACCGTAATTCAAATATATACATTTTAGCATTCCAATGTTGCATAAAATGGCATATTGACTTATATTTGCTAAAGTATTTGAAAAGATAGTATATCAACAAGTGTACAATTCTACTTCCCCTATACTAAGCGACTCCCTACATGGATTTGTTATAAAAAGATCAAGTGTTACTAATCGGATCCTTACAAATAATTACATTTTAAGAGCTATGGACATTGGTCTTTAAGTTAACTGTATTTATACTGACTACAGTAAATGTTTCGATCGAATAGATCATCAAATACTTTTGTAAAAATTGGCAATGTCAGGAATACACATGGAACCATCGCAGAAGGTCTCCACCTTCTGCGATGGTTCTCCTCTTATATTGAAAATAGGTCACAAGCAGTAGTACTTAATGGCTTTATGTCCACTTGTCTACCGGTTCCTTCAGGACTACCTCAAGGCTCTCTGTTGGGCCCTCTACTCCAAACTCTCCAAAGTACTCTTATATGCTGATGATATGAAAATACTTAAAATTCATCGCTAGTACAGAGGATACTATGTTATTGCAATCATAATTGGAAAGATTTTAAACGTACTGCAATATAAATAAACTAGATTTAAATGTCTCTAAATATTTTTGTCTAAATATTTTTTTGTGTCGTTCACAAGGAAAAGCGATACAATCAATGGCGATTATCACTTGAAGGGTACCTCTTTGGCCAGAGTATATGAGGCTTGTGATCTTGGAATAATTCAAGACTAAACGTATCTATGACAAGCATATATCTAGGATTATAACTAGGGCATATAAAGCCATGGGATTTGTCATCCGCTTTTTTTTAGTGCCTTCTACAGCTTAAAAACGATAAAAATGCTCTACTGTTCATTTGTACGGCCTAATCTTGAATATGCATCACAGATCTGGAACCCACAATATGAGGTTTATAAGTCTCGAGTCTCTATTGAGAGTATTCAGAAAAGATTTTTAAACTATCTCGATTATAGAGCGTATACGGATTCTCAGGACTATGACGAGAGGTGCAAACGATATCACTTTCTTCCTTTATCTGTTCGACGTAATATTAATGACGTATGTTTTTATCTAAAAATTTGTAATGGTTCCATTTACTCCCCGGAATTATTATCTGATGTTACTTTAAACTGATGTTACTTTAAACGTTCCAATAGCAAGTAAGAGGAAACGTAAACTACTTTACATAAACAGAGCTCATACGAACTATAGACGTAATTCTTTCATGATTAGAACTGCTAAGTTTATTATGCACTAGCTTAACTTTGATATTGATCCATTTAGTTCTGCCAAGAGTACCTTAACCAGCGAATATTTTGCTTAAAATCTTTGTATTAATTCTTAAAATATTTATACGCATAGCTTTTTAATTTTAAGGTACCTTATTGTTAACTTGTTTATTTATCTTTTAACTGACTTTTGTTTTTAACTCTAAAAGTGGAAACTTGTAAATGCCTGAATAGTATATATTTATATTTTTTTATTTAATAATAAGCAATTATTGTTAGTTTTCCGAATAAAATGAAATAAAATATATTTATTACGTCACGTTCGTCAAGTCAGCTCTTAACGGTATATAAAGACTACAATTGACAGTTAATTAGGTAGTACTGAGTTTATTTGTGGCATGCGTGCCCCGTCAACTTTGTGCTTCCTCTTGTTTTCAATATTCCATGTTCACCTCTAAGCAAGGCGTCATCAGAAGTAACTTATTGATATTTGCTCATTTTATTTTTGCACGCTGATTTTGGTTACGCAATTTTCTTATGTTCAATATATTTTAATGAAAGAGATACATCCACCGATGGTGTAATTGAATGGTTTCTAGTGTTCAGTAAGCAAGTGTTTCTGGTAGTTCCAGAGGAGCTGGAAGTGCAGGCCGTGCAGAGCCTGACGGCGAGCCTGGGCGCGGCGGGTGTGGGGGCGGGTGCGGGGGCGGGCGGCGGGGCGGGGGCGGGCGCGGGCGCGGGGGCGGGCGGGCACCAGTCGGTGGCCACGGTGGTGCGCATGACGCGCTCGCTGCTGTTCCCGCCGCAGTTCAAGACGCTGCGCGAGTGGTTCCTCTACGCCTTCGCCGAGAGCGAGATAGACGGTCAGTTGCTTCATTTTAATGTCAAGACTTCTTTACAGTCGTTGTGATTAAAAACTCTATGAAGCGAAAAGAGGGAAATATATACATCTGTAGGAATATAGCCTGTGAGAGAATGAAATTAGAATACATTATATCGTTATCGTTACAACCTATTAAAATCCATTGTTGAACATAGGCCTTCCCATAAATTCAAAAAAAGGAGGAGGTCCTCAATTCGACTATTTTTTTAATGTTTTTTTTTTTATAGAATAGACTGACGAACAAGCACACAGTCCACCTGATGGTAAGTGGTTGCTATGACCCATAGACATCTACATTTATGCTCAATAAAGAATTAAAATACAGATGCGTCGTCACCCGTGAGGACTAAGATGGAATGCCTCTTTTCCAGTAAAATGGGTCTCCGGTTCTCTACACTCACCATACGAAACACAGCAGTGTCAAGCTGCCATTTTACGCTGGTATTCTATGAGAGCGTAGTCCTTCCCCGGTCGAGCCGACAATTCCTGATGCGATATAATTTTTTTTTATTTGAAAGCTGGTGCTTCTCATGTTAAATTTGATCAAGATCTAACCAGTAGTTTTTGAGTTAGCCTTAATAATGCGTATTTAATTGACTTCGACTACAATGGTAACAATAACGCAACATTTTATTTATATTAAATTCGGTTGTAGAAATTTTTTAATTTTACCATTGATTTATATCGGATTCGTGTACAATTTTTTTTTATCTTGCCACTTGTTTATATAATACTAAAATGAAAAGTATATTGCCGTTTTAAAAAGAAAGGAAAATGCATTTATTTGACATATTATATGTTCAACAGTTGTAAATATGTAAATAAAAAAACTTATTTAATAAATTATATAACAACAATAAAACAGATAAAAATCTTTCTTCGACATGTAATGATATGAAAATTGAGCTCAATGAGAGTGATTGAATCACTTACGTCGCATGCACACGGTGTAACCAACTATGATAATGTGTTGCCACTGCAGCAATAGAACAGTTCCCATCGCTGGAGAATGCGGGTGGGAGTGCGGGCGCGGGCAATACGGGAAGCACGGAGCGCGAGCGTGGCAAAGCAGGCGGCGGTGGCAGCGCCAGTGGCAGCGGTGGCGGTGAGCGCCACGTACGTGAGGTTATCTTCGCGCTGCCCGCACTGCAGCTGCATCTGCGCACCAGGCATCTGCAACGCGCTAAGACTCCCACTGAAAACGGTGAGATTCTCGCTCTTTGAACAATTCATTTATCTGTCTCGAAGGACCAAATTTATTGCTTATATTACTCGACTTTTCGGTTAGTTTTTTCGTGATAACTGCGAGTCCTTTTAATCTAAGTAGTTAGAGTATCTCGGAAACTATGCTTGAATCTCTAATCAACAATTTTGTATAAACTTAAATACTATTATTTGAGTCTGTTTCTTCCGATCTAAATGGAAGAAGTGTTACAGCTGGCAAGGATGTGTTAAGATGAATCCGCCGCCCACACATATGGGATAAACGCGGTGGATTTTTACTTGCCCTATATGACGAAGTCGATGGATGCAGGTGGCTCAGGACCGTGCTTTGTGGCACTCCTTGGGGGAGGCCTATGTTCAGCAGTGGACTTATGAAGGGCTGTAATGATGTGATATCCTTATCAGAAATGAGAAAAGACCTGTTCCCCAGAGAAGAATGTATATGTATGTATACGAGGGGCGTTCAATGAATTCTCTGTATGATATATTTTTGAAAAAAGATAAAATTATGAAATATTTTTTATTTTTCAATTCTCCCATGACATCAATACATTTGCTTGTTCCTGAAAAAAATCTTTTCTATTCCCTTGAAAAAATATTCTTCGTCTTGCCCTAAAAAATGCTCTTTACAGCGGACTTGAGCTCATTATCGTCAGCAAATAGGTCGAAGATCTTTTTTTACGTTTGGAAATAAAAAGTAGTCACTAGGGGCTAGATCTGGGCTGTTTGGTGGGTGGTTAATTTCTCGCAAGTTCGTACATCAGCCTTGGTGAGCCTTGCCTTGTGAACTGGTGCGTTGTCATGAAGAAGCAGCAATCCCTTGGTCAGCTTTCCTATTCTCCTTTCTTTTATTGCTTCTTTCAAACGGCGTAAAGTAGCTGAGTATTTAGCTGCGTTGATGGTTTCACCTTTTTTGAATACTCGATCAATAGTATTCCTTTGGTATCCCAAAGCACTGTGGCCATGATTGCCGCCCGATGGAGTGGTAAGAACTTCTTGGGAGGATTTAATCACCGCATGGTGTTTGATTTTTTTTTCAACACTGTCAAGTCAGTCATTCCCGTCATCAATGACTGAAGGTTGCATAAGAAGTAATGAAGCTATCAAGATAAAATTTCATATTTATACCCTCAGGTAGTGTGGTTAGCTAATTATTGTTTTAATTACCCACATTATTTATTAATAATTAATTAATTACCCACATTATTTATTAATAATTAATTCCGATATTATTTTGAACGCCCCTCGTAAGTTGTAACCTCGCGTAATGTACGTGAAAACGTATCTGTTGAGGTTGTTTCCAAGTGTCCATTAGCTGCAGTAGCCACTTACCATCAGGTAGACTGTTAGCTCACTTCTAACTAAGTAATAAGTAAATAACATTTTATATAAATATACATATAACACAGAAGTCTATTTCCATTCATGTTACCTAAATTTGAGTTTGGAGCTGCTTACAATACATACGATAACTTGTTACTACTACTACTCGCTAAAATCTATACAAACAAATAAAATTGAAGTGTCTGTTTGTAATGTCAAAATAACAGCTTTTTACTAAATGCATATGAAAGTATATACGGTACTCATAACAAAAACACAATTATTAAAGCTTTTGTCTATCTGTCTGTTTGTTCCGGCTAATCTCCGGAATGGCTGGTTTTGACTAGACTTTCACTGGCAGATAGCTGATGTTATAGGAATAACTTAGGCTGTTTTTATTTCAGAAAAATAATTAGGGTTCCGCGCAAAAAAATTAAAAACCATGAAATTCAATCGTTATAAATTACACGCGGGCGAAGTCGCTGGGAACAACTAGTTCTATAATATAACATCAAAATAAAATCTCCTTTTTCAGATGAAAAACCCATAGTAGAATGCAGCTTTATCACAGAGTTTGAAGACCACATCTTCGTATCGGTAGACGCAGAGGCGTTCTTGTTTCTGCACGACCTCATCTCATCCTACATCAAGGAAAAAGATCGCATCGTAAGTTCAAATTTGATTCTATAGCTATAATTAATACTAATGCCGATAAAGCGTCTTAAACTGTTTTCAACAATATCTGACAGATAGACTGAATAAGCTGTGAATTTCGAAAGTGTGCAGTGTATACACAAAAGTGTAAGTTATCTGTGTTTCATATATTAATGTACAGTTGAATAAAAAATAGAGCTTAGTGATTTCTTATGTCTACGCGAACACTACACTTTTAAATGAAACTGAGTTGTATGAATTTTACCACGTATTGTGGTAAAAAGGCTTGTTTTATAAGCGACCACTAGTAGTGTTGTGGCGCTGTTTTTGAGCTGTAAGCGAAATGTACCGAAGTCTAAATCGCGTTATCAAAGTTCTGAAGTTAATGCGTTATATATAGAACAGCTCGGAAATAACACATGGGGCGTTGGCCACTCCCCGGGCAGAACAACTTACCCGGCGTGAAATCTCTTTTCTTACCACGGCCACAGTAGTAATAAACTCTAAGAAATATATTTATATATATATATATATATATATATATATATATATATATAAATTCGATCATCGCGTTTTCCATTCGTGGGTATTGTGAAATTTGATAGAAGGGACGTTTTTATTAGGATCAAAATTCATTATGCACCTTGAACAAAAACTGCGGTGGCCTATGTAACTACCGAGAACGGTAAGTATACCTTTAATGGACGAAAGAAGAGAAAGGCCCCCAAGTCCGCTCTAAGTATGCTATTTCAGAATATTGTTGTTATGATGGTATTGATAAGACATCCAACTCCTGTACTTTGGGGTCCGGCAAGAAAATGCTATTATAGAGACGTATAACGGATATTCTATAAATAACTTTGAATAACTAACTTTTGAATAAATTGTTCTAAAGCGTAAAGTTTATTGTCTTATTAACAACGTGAAAATCGTAAGATTCTTCTCAGAATCATCTGATTTATTTATTTATTTCTACCTCTGTCTTTACAGGCGTAGTTAATACGACAGTGTAGGCAAATCTATCTTTTACCATAGTTGTCATGTTTGGTAGGCAGGTTCGCAGCTGCAGTTTTTTATAATTTTCAATTGTTATCTGCTGTCTCCCTTCTGTTTTAGTTTTTTTTTTTTATAGGATAAGGGTGACAAACGAGCACACAGTCCACCTGATGGTAAGTAGTTGCTGCGGCCCATAGACATCTACATCTATCCTCTGTTACAAATCAAAATGTAGATGCGTTGTCATTCGTGAGGACTAAGATGGAATGCCTCATTTCCAGTAAAAAGGGCCTCCGGCCACCTGCACTCACCAAGCGAAACGCAGAGGTAAACCTCTACTTCACGCTGGTTTTCTGTGAGGTCGTGGTACTACCCCGGTTCGAGCCGGCCCATCCGTGCGACAGCAAAAGCTACCGCGTGGCTCTACCACTGTTAAAAAAAAAGTTTCTCTCTATCGCTTCTTACGACAAGCACAGTATGATAGTAGTGGTTATCCTTATGTTGCCACTATACTAAATAACTTCATTGACGGATGTGATAGGGTGTGTCGGGGGAAATGTCGGTGTCTCTGAGGCCACCAGCATACTGTGGGTGGAGTGTTTAGACGTGCGGCTTGTTCCAGATGCCGGTGGGGGGCCGCGGCGCCAGCAGCAGCAGCGGCGGCGGTAGTGGCGGCGGGGAGGCGGGGGCGCAGGACTACCGCGAGTACCGCTGCGTCACCTGGCACCTCGAGCCCACCGTACGGTCAGTAACACTCCTTTTGTTCACACGCTTTTATTAACTTCGCGTCTATCTATCTATCTATCTATCTATGCAACGGAATCTTTTAATGTAATTGTCACGACTTGAAGACGATCGATTGACTTGAAAATTTTCACTCGTATCAAGGACTGACGACAATACACTAATTTAAAAACACTATCCTAGTATCCTGATCGGGATCACTATATACATGTTGTCCCAGAAGTCGACGTCAAGCCGAAATCGGGTGATAGGACAAATCATAATAGTTACCAGGAAAATATAAAAAAATCTTAGTCATATATTTTTTTAAATTACAGTAATTTCTTTTTTTTTTAAATGTATAACTTGTAATGGTTTTTAATTCCTTTAGCTACAAATCTTTACTTCTCTTCGATTTTTTTTTGTGTAATCTTGGGTAGTGCTTGTGTAACCTGTTGTTTTTAATTCTTAGCTAACTGCCTCCAACTTAGAAGAAAATGTCACATTTATCCGAACCAAAAATTAAAAATTAATACTTCGCTCAACTTTAACTGACTGTACTGAAAAAATAATGTACTACGCCAGTTTAGGAAGTAACTTTAAAAGTTTTTTTTTTATTTTCATTTAATAAGGATTTTAAAATGGTATAGCACTTGCTACATTATTTTTTAGATTACAAGAAAAAAGAAATTCTTCAAGATTCCCAGTTTTGATAAAATTCTTTTTAACTACTAAAAATTATTTTAGTGTAACCAAAGCTTGCCATGAGAGTAACTAAGATTCTAGTTTGAGTGAGTGGAAGAATCAAGCCATGAAGTGTGAGTGAGACAGATAGTGACGCATTCGAGTCATATTTTTTCTTAAATTTAGAATAAATTTTCCTTAAGTTTAAAATTAAACAACAATTATTTGGATGCTGAGATTTTTTGTAAAAAAGGTATTCAAATTGCTTTTCTTCAGCTGCAATACAAGGTCAACATCTTCTTAAAAAAGACCGGGTTATCAGACGGGCAAATCTTTCGTTGTTGACAAATTCAGCTGCTTCCGTAATTCTTTGCCAAAACTCAGCTAAATTTTCAATTGGCTTTAAATAAACCTTCTCTTTCACTGCTCCCCAGTAAAAAAAATCTAACGGATTTAGATCCGGGAAACGGGCTGGCCACGAGATCGTACCAGCCCTATCTATCTGCCCGGATATTCTTCATTGAGATATTGTGTCACGGAGCGGGCATAGTGAGCTGGGCAGCCATCTTGCTGATACCACATCTCTCTGTGAATACTTAGTGGCACGTCTTCAAGTAAATTAGGTAAATGGTTTTGTAAAAAATCTAAATAAATTTCAGCATTCAAGACCTCTGTCAACTCAAAGGGTCCTGTCACTCTTCCGTTCAAAATTCCAGTTCACATGTTTATTTTAAAACGATATTGAGCTCTGTCTTCTCTCATTAAATTCGGATTCTCTACGTGCCACTCGTGTAAACTATGCAGTTCATGTACCGTCTTGTTTAAATGTCGATTCATCCGTCCACAAAAAGTTTTCTAAGAATCGCGGGTCTTCGCGGTGTCTTTGTAGCATCGTTTGGCAAAACGCAACCCGACGTTGCTAATCTTGAGGTAGCAGGGTTTGTACTCTCTGTACATGGTACGGGTGTAACTCATTTTTTTGTAAAATTCCGTGAGCTGTACCTTTGGGCACTCCTGTGCTTTCCTGAATTGGTCGTAAAGAAATACTTGGGTCTTCTTCAACTGCTTGTAGTACTATATCCTCGTAAGGTAACGAACTTCTTCCTTCACCATGTACTTGGTTTGGAAGTCTGGCCTCAGTAAAGAGTAGACGGTGCATATTTGTAAAAACACGATGATCTGGATAGCGATCAGCATTTTGGTATCCCTCGCGATACAGTCTAGCCGCAGCACTAGCATTGCCTCTGCATTCCCTATAAATGTAGTGCATGTTTGCATATTCCAGTATGTTGGCACTCAACAATCACACTATAGTCCAGGAAAAAGCCAAGGTTTTCGTTAAAAGATCGAAACTGTCCAAATCCAAATCACAAGCAAACAAGTCCAATAAGCGAAGCAAAAAGTCGGTAAGTACGAACTTACACGAACGAATACGGAAAGATGCGTAGTAAACGAAGGAGCGTAACGTACTGATCTATATTGCGTATGGCAACACTCAAAAAGTGGCGTCACTATCTGTCTCTCTCGCACCTCATAAAATGACTTTCTTGGTATTTGACACATTAGCGTCACTATATATCTCACCCATTAGCATCTGAATTGAAAGCGTCACTATCTGTCTCACTTACCCATTAGCATCTGAATCGAAAGCGTCACTAACTGTCTCACTCACCCATTAGCATCTGAATCGAAAGCGTCACTATCTGTCTCACTCACCCATTAGCATCTGAATCGAAAGCGTCACTATCTGTCTCACTCACCCATTAGCATCTGAATCGAAAGCGTCACTATCTATATCACTCACACTTCATGGAATGATACTTCCTCTCGCTAAAACTGGAATCTTAGTTACACTCAAGGCTAGGCAAGCTTTGGTTATACTAAAATCATTTTTAGTAGATAAAAAGATTTTTTTTAAACTGGGATTCTTGAAGAAAAATTTTTTCTACTGTAATCTAAGAAATAATGTAGCAAGTGCTATACCATTTTAGAATCCTTATTAAATGCGTCAACTTTTAAGGTTACTTGCTAAACTGGCGTAGTACATTTTTTCAGTACAGTCAGTTAAAGTTGGGCGAAGTATTCATTTTTCATACTTGGTTCGGATAAAAGAGACATTTTCTTTTAAGTTGGGGCAGTTAGCTAAGAATTTAAAACAATAGATTACACAAGCACTATTTTGGGACAATCTGTATATCAGCATATCAGGATCATTACAGCTTATGATCAATGCGTGTTGTTTAAGATTTTTTTAAACTTTTATATAATTATACAATAAGTGTGACAAACGAGCACAAAGTCCATTTGATGGTAAGTGGATGCAGTGGTCTACAGACATCTTAATTTATCTTCGTTTAAAGTCGTAGACTCGTATGTTAAGCCAATAAGAAAGCGAAGTGCTCTCCTTCTGAGTGCCAATGAAATCACGTCAAATTTCCACTTTTGTCTTCTTATTAGTTATATTATGGAGCTTAGTAATGTTTTTGATGCTGCTATTTCTTATTTTGTCCATTCTTTTGATCCCTAACATATTCCTTTCCATGGCATGTTGGCATATGGCGAGTTTGTTTAATATGTTTCTTGTTAAAGCCCATGTTTCGCTCCCATATGCCAATACAGGCAGGTTCTTGTCTTTCATTAATTATTTTAGGCCCCAGTATTTTCCAGCTGTTCGCAATTCTTCTTTTGACTTCTTTGTTTATATTATCTTCTGGAGACATCAGTTGAGATCATCAGCCGAGATATGTATATTTGCTTCAAATTATTTTATTTTTATATTGGTGCCCGCGTTGAGCTAAGAATAATAATTTACATTTGTTTGTGAATAAACGAAAAATTATGTCGGTTTTTGTAGTAAGATGGCGTTTACAAAAAGAGAACTCATTTATTCATGGTTGAGCACTACATAAATAAATAAAAAAGTATACTATTAAAAAAATAACTGAATTTAACTTGTGACAAGAATAACAGTTTTTTTTTTCTAAGGTTAACCTTATTAAGGTTAGGTTAGGTTAGGTTTTTCAGACCGCTCACTTATCGACTTCCGACTAATTTAAAAGTTGTTCTTGTTTTCGCTTAGCAATGCTAGTTGCAGTTTAGTAATACACGTATATATAAAACTTGGCAACCACTGGCGCACCATATTACTGTTTTCATTGTTTGTAATTTGTATTTATGACTATAAAAGTTTGAGAAAAAAGTGAATACGGTGTGTTTGTGTGTGGTGGACAGGCTGCTGTCGTGGGCGGGCAAGTCGATCGAGCCGTACGGCGTGGACTACATCCTGCAGAAGCTGGGCTTCAGCCACGCGCGCACCACCATCCCCAAGTGGCTGCAGCGCGGCGCGCTCGACCCGCTCGACGCGCTGCTCGCCGCCGTGCTGCTGCGCCTCGTGCAAGCCGTGCCGCACGCCAAGCGTCCGCCCCACACGCCCCGCCCCTAGCCGCAACCGACCTTACTTACTGCGACATAACGTTCAGATTCCTTCACCACGACACTGACACTAACTACGCCCACACTTATGTATCGGCGACCTTCACCGCTACGACATAACATTCCGAATACTCGCACGCGCCGCTCCCGCTGCGCCTCTAGCGACAAGCGATCGCTTCCACTACGACATAAGGTTCAAAATTCCTACGTACGAATTGATACCAACTACACCCACACTAAACTACCTTCACCGCTGCGACGTAAGGCTCGAAATCGCCGCACGCTCCACTCCCGCTCTGCGCCTTTAGCGACAAGCAACCAGCAACCTAATAAGCTATGACATAAGGAATTCCCTTCACGGAGCACAGACCAACACGCTTTATCGACACTTAGCGACTAGCGACCTTCATCGCTATGACATAAGGTTCGAAATTCCCGCATCTATTAACACGACGCGACAAGCTACCTTCATTGCTACAACATAAAATTTAAATTCTCTGAGCAGGGAGCGACACTTACCTACACTGTACGACTCAACAGCTGACTCTAACAACACTATCATAAGGTTCCAAATCGCTTTATTATAACCGACTGTGACTGCACAACTATACGATTCAAAATAATTTAGCAACAACTCACCCTGATTACACCACTATACACTTCCCAACAGTCAACCCTGCTTACACCGGTATTGTTTGCACTGTCATAATAATCGAAATAGCTTCACAATCCCTGATTTTCTGATTGCGCCAAAACGAACCCTAGTCGCACATATAAGGCCCGAAATTGTTTCACAATAACCAAGTTAACTAAGCCTTAGTTACAAATTATTTCAAGAGTACTCACACCAACTATACCACCATACGGCTTTATCTTGCTAACACTATATGGTGTGCCTAAACTCTGTATTGACTAGCTACGGTAACATCGTACCCTAATAACTGTAAAGAGTTTTGTTTTTGTAGCAAGACTTTGATCGTAACTGTCTGGCGTCAATTTAAACATGTTTTAATTTTTACTGGTATACCGGATGTTTCAGTTCTTCATGTGTGGTCCTAGTATTAGCTAAATATAGGCACGAATGGTGAGCACAACGTTGACATGCGTAATAGTCGATTTATAGATCGCTTTGGTAAAGTACAAGGGCGCGGGGTGGGTACGGTGAACAGTATTTTTTATAGAATAAAGATAATTATGATATAGCTGCGGCATGGCTCTACAACGGATAAATTCTACCATTTCGAGGTCCGTTAGTTAATCTTCATCATATTTTGTATATCCACGTGTCATTCGCCTGCAGTATAAAAATGCTGGAAAATTTACATGCGCAAATGCTGTCACTTGGTATTCACGACTCGCGCCGATAGTTAGTTGTATGGGTTTCATACCTGTATTTTTAGAACCCTTTCAATCTCTGCTAACTAGCAATCATTCGCTAGTGGAGATTGGAAAGAAGTATGACATAAATGCGTAAGATATTATTAGTTTAACGAAAATGAAGCCTTCGTTTTATAGGAACAAGACTCAAAATCGCTTAGCTCACCTCACTCAGTTAATTCTTGAGAATTACTTATTCTGTCTACTACACGATACAACTAGACCTAGATCATTAGGAAATCATTCAACACTAGTGGAGTGTAAAGATTCTTAATTGGTTGCCTACCTACTATTGTTAGTTTCATAATTTGCTTTTATGATCTCTAGGCCTTAAAATACTATTAGATGTTTGAAGGTATATTTGGTAGTAGATTTATGAATCAGATTTTTATTCGAAGGTGCTAAATGCGGCAAGTTTAAACTTTATATATTCCATAGAATAAATTATTGTCTGTGACATTTTGTATCCTTGTCTTAAGACACGTGCTAATCTTTACACATAACTAAAACATAAATTCTGTATTACTTAGATGTAGGCTACAAATAAAGTTAAATTTACCTTGATTAGCGAATTTCTCCTATATCGATATTACTGTCCACTTTTTTATCGATGATAGCAACAATATTTATCATATTGATAAATTATTCCTGTCTATAGTTATTAAGATTAATGCAAATTTATAATCCCTATCATAGTATTAATATCAAAATGTTTCTAAAACATATAGTGGTATTAATGAAATAATAAAATATTTCATTTTTATTGATTATTTTTTCAGTTGATGTTAAAACCAAAAGATCTCAATAAAATTCGCCAAAGTTGAAATAGAAAAGTTAACAGTATGAAGGACAATCCTTATAATAACATTATTCCTATAAAGTTAGTTATTGAACCACATTTTCAATACGTCTTATTACCTGTAGTCCTAACGTAAATTGATAAAATTATAAACATCTATTGGTGTTACTAAAAAGACTTTATCTGTATTTTTATTTGTATGTTTCATATTTGAATATCGTTTTTATATTATTGATTTATAATAATTAATTTTAATAGTGTATTTGAATTTAATTTTATGTGCAGTAATCTTTCCTGATTTTATATATCCCATTATAAGTTTTTTTAAAACAAGCCACACCATGTCACTTTCCTCTATTTTTGTGTTTATCTTTGTTTCCATAACATGTACAGATCTATTATTTATTTGGTTAGTTTGTTGAATAGTTGAACAGTTGTTGTAAGGATATGGTTCATATATAATGTGTAGGGAAATTTTGTAGAACTTGTATAATTGATGGCCTATTTAATATAATCCAATGTTTAAATCCAACGAACTCAATACAATTGCGGTTTTTAAACATTCAATGAACATTCTAATGTTTTATTTTTTGTTTTATCTGTTTAAAAGTTGTAAAAATTATTATTGTGTTGGAAAAGAAATTACTTTTACATTAAATAGTTTAAATCACAATATATTATGGCATTTGTTCTAAAATAATTATAAAATAAGAAGTGATACACTTACTCATTCTATATAAATTAATGTGGAAATAAATGAATGTAGTCATTTAAGAGATTTGAATATTTATTTATGAACATTTATGTTAATTGTAAAGGGAATCAAAGCTTATTTGAATAGTTTATCTTCATTGTAGAATTCTGTATTACGATAATGTTTGTATTATTTCGTATAATACTTCAGTGATTATTGTAGATTGTACCTAAATGCTTATTTTATGTACTGATAATGTTAATAGGGGATGTGATTTGTACATAATACATGTGATATAAATAAAATTATTAGAGAATTTATGAGATATGTTTTTTAAGTTCATGAGACTATAAAAATTTCATCCATCCATTACAGCCTTTAAAATACCACTGCTAAACATAGGCCTCCTCAATAGATTACCTTATGGAGTGAATTTTGTAATAACTGCTAGGCTTGGCAGGCGAGTTGGCATCCGCAATATTTTATATTTTGAGTTTTTAAATGTTTTGAAAGTGCTTCTTGCATTGTCTTGTTTCAGTTTTCCTTTGTCGCCTCTTACGATACCCACGAGATGATGTGGGACATGGATATTCTTGCACCCATTAATATCAATGACTAAAAAGTGTTTTTTTCCTTGGTAATTATACGATTGTACTTTTATCAATTTTTGTTATTACGACAACTGTTGCTTTGTTGTATCACGTTTACGCGGCGGAGCTATAATAAATCTCGGTTGTTTTCGCATTGAAATGTTGGAACAGGCTGGATTGACCTATAATGTTTTTGGAAGAGCCTTTTCTCATGATATTTATGCGTGCGCCTGCGCCGGAAATTGGTAAGTAAATAGATATCAAACATACTTGTAAAAACAACATAAATCAGTGATTTCTGAACGTTCAATTATCAATGTCGTTCGAATGTATCATTAACCTAATTTGTTGTTTCAACTCCCTTAACCGGTTCAGTGCGGGTGACACGGGTACTTTTGTGTGTGGCGTATGACACGCGAGTCGTGTCTTTTTAAAAATCGTTATAACTCGCTCAAATTGGTTTTTTGGAAAATTTATCCAGAACAAAATATTCATTATTTTGCGAGTAGTTCATGCATGCAGCTTCGTTTCTGGATATTTTGAAAATTTGAAATTTTTAGGAGTTGACAACCTTTTTTTAACGTGTACATGGTACTATTTTTACTTTGTGGGTTTTAAATCATGTTATGGAAAAATAGTCTAATAAGTAACAAATAATAACACTCATTGCGATCGCTCACAAACTGAAGTTAATAAATTTCTGGAAAACAAGTCTCCTGTTAAAATAAAAACAATGCGTTTGTCTTGTTTAATTTTGCTTAAAATGGTTGAACTGCCGTCTTATTACTATCATATTGCCGAATAGATCTACGAAGTACTGTGTGCTCTTGTGATATGCTATAAGGTTTATTTTTGCTTGAAACAGTTCGAAACCGTTCATGCATAAAAAAAGTTCGCTAATAAATAGTCTTTTGTCAATCCGCCGCCGTATAGCGCCGGCGTTTGTTTCCTTTTGAAAACACTTGTTTTGCTATTCTTACTAATTAGACGTTTTCAGATCGACTTTAATTTTACATTTGTATAACATTAAATAATATTTAACATTTGTAAATATCATTGTTTGATATTTACAAATGTTATTATTAGGTGAAAATTTAATTTAATAAAAACCAAGGTTTCCAGGGTGATTTAGCTGTACCTACTTATATAAATGATTTTTTATAACAACAAAAAATAGTACAAAAGGTTTGTAATCTCTTCATAAAAAAAGTCACTTTCTCTCAATTTCAAAGAAAACGCGTAAAAAAACACGTAGTTACCCACTAAAAACAAGTATCCTTCCATTTGTAACTTATGTTTGATGTCAAATAAACTTAATTAGGTCTAAACAAGTAAAAAAAGGCATAAAAAAGAACATTACTTTTACACATGGCGGATGGCACAATAGGCGTGTCATTTTTGTCTGTGGCGCTCGACACACCCGGCGTGTCATGAAATATTTGTTCGCCGCCACAGCTAAAAGTTGTCGAAAATTGGTGCCGCAACGATTCGGTTAATTAAAAGCAAAATGGCACAGACCTCTTATTTCTATGTTTTAGAGCAAAGCCAAC